TGCTGTGCCTGGTGCCATTGGGTTAAGCTGCCTGAAGGATGATCATGGTCTCGGTCTCCAATTTGGGTCTCAGACTGGTGTCCCTGATCTGTCCACACTGTAAGAAGCTCAGGAGGCACTGGCATCAGCAGCTTTCACCCTCCTGAACAGCACCCGCCACCCCCCCACTCCCACCACTCCAGGCCTCTTCTGTCTCAGGTCACAGAGCAGGTGGGTTCTGTGAAAGAACTTTCCCTTTCTCCCCACCCCCAGGTCACAGGAAATTCATTTAGTGAGAATTAGAGGGCAGGGGGTTAAAAAGAAATAGTGAAGTTGCACCTGTTTATATTGCACAAACATTTATAATAGCAAAGGAAATATAACTGTTTCCCATAGTCCCTCAACTAAATGCGTCTATTTTTCTTATCTCTATTTCCTTCCATTCTTTGTCTAATGGTATAAATATTTTTGCCCGTGGTAGTCATAGCATAGGTGGCATTTTTGTCATGGTCTTTCATTTAACATTTCACGTGTTTTTCAATCTCTTACATGGTTTTAGAATTGTACTTAAATTTTTTTTTAATGGTTTTATTTATTCTCGTGAGAGAGAGAGGCAGAGCACAAGCAGCGGAGGGACAGAAAGAGAGGGAGACACAGAATCGGAAGCAGGCTCCAGGCTCTGAACTGTCAGCACAGAGCCTGATGTGGAGCTTGAACCCACGAACCGTGAGATCATAACCTGAGCCAAAGTCAGATGTTTAACTGACTGAGCCACCCAGACACCCCTAAGAATTACACTTGCAGGACTTTTTGTAAAAAGTTCTAAATGTACCTCCGTGCATAAACTTTTTTCCTTTGATTTTATTGTCAGTGGAAATCCTATGAAATTATTGGGTCAAAGAATACGAACATTTTCATAGCTTTTGGAACATGAAGCAGTTTTCTTTACCAAAAGAGTAATATCCATTCCCACTGCTACCAGGAACATATAAACAGGCCTATTTTAATTCATAACCTTGATGGTAATAGGACTTAAGTACTGCTAATTTAATGGGAACAAAGGGATTCCCTGGTTTTAATTTATACTTCTTTGCTGTTAAAATGAGTCTTTCCCCATATTTATTTGTGTTGCCTTTTATGTGAATTGTCTCTTTGTATTCTTTGCATATCTATCTACTGGACTTGGCATTTTCTTACAAATTTATATGAATAACTGATAATTCCCCCCAGGCCACCTAAATTAATGCCTTAAGTTTAAACATGGTAATGAAAATAAAATCTTCAAAAATAAATTTAATATGTACTACATAAACACATGGTCAATAAAAATAAGATTTTACAGTGCTTATTGTTAAGCACAATTTAAAAAAAATTTTTTTTAACATTTATTTATTTTTGAGACAGAGACAGAGCATGAACAGGGGAGGGGCAGAGAGAGAGGGAGACACAGAATCTGAAACAGGCTCCAGGCTCTGAGCTGTCAGCACAGAGCCTGACGCGGGGCTCAAACTCATGGACCGTGAGATCATGACCTGAGCCGAAGTCGGACGCTTAACCGACCAAGCCACCCAGGCGCCCCGGCCAAGCACAATTTTAAGCATTTTACCCAACTCTGTGAAATATGTACTACTTTATTCCCCTTTTATAGATGGAGAAACTGAGGCAAAAAGCAATTAATAAATTTGTCCAGGCTAAATTCAGTAGTTAAGGGGCAGTATGGCTTCTATGTCTGTGCTGTAACCCCCTTACTCTTATTAGTTTGGGGAAAGAACCAGGGAAGGAGAACAGTTGGGGAAGTACTGTCCTGAGAACTGAATCAGGTATGGGGGCACCTGAGTGACTCACTCGGTTAAGTGTCTGACTTGATTTCTGCTCAGGTCATGATCTCATGGTCTTGAGATGGAGCCCTGCATTGGGCTCTGTGCTGAATGTGAAACCTGCTTGGGATTTTCTCTTTCCCTTTCTCCCTGTCCCTTGCTCGCTCACTCGCTCTCTCAAAATAAATAAGTGAATCCGATATAATCATCCAGTCCCATAGACTCACGAAATATTTGAAACAGTATGTTAAATTCTCTTGCTTCTCTGAACTGATTGCTCACTATTTTTAAATGAATGGAGGGGCGCCTGGGTGGCTCAGTCGGTTGAGTGTCTGACTTCAGCTCAGGTCATGATCTCAGAGTTGGTGATTTCATGGCCCCGCATCAGGCTCTGTGCTGACAGCTCAGAGCTTGGAGCCTGCTTCACATTCTGTCTTCCTCTCTCTCTGCCCCTCCCCTGCTTGTGCTGTTTCTGTCTGTCTCTCTCAGAAATAAACAAACATTAAAAATAAATAAATAAATAAAATGAATGGAGAAGTGAGAAAATGTAAGCAATAAACTTTTAAGTAACTATACACACCTCATGACTTTAGGAATTGTTACCAAGGGGGTTTTGAAGGTGTGTTTCTCTTTTAGATCCTCAGACTAGATAATGTGAACTGACTAGTCTTCAAATTTGCTGATTCTTTCTTCCTGCCAGTTCAAATCTTCCATTCAAATTCTCTAGTGAATTTTTGCATTTTTCCATCTGTGTGTCCCAGTCGGGGCTTATTGGTGGGGCCCATTGATACTCTTCCTGTTTTTGTTCTGTCCATTTGTGCTGTTAAAAATCCTTTCCTCCTTGTGATTTAGTTTTATTTTGACCAGTGGTTCTTAGATCATAGAAACCTATTTTATTTGTTTTAAGCAGATTTAAGGGATTCCATTTTAGGGTGCTTCCAAATTATATGCTGAATAATGAATGAATTTTCACAATTTGGAGATGCAAAAGTAGTATTAGTATAAGAATTTAAGTCTTTGCTCTGTGGGTAAGAAAATAAATATGCTGGGACAGACAGGACGCTTTTATTAGTGGAGCTTTATTGATTTAAATCATTTTATATGAAAACAGTAGAGCTCCGCCCAGAAATAATAATGTAAGAAAATTTACAGAGGGCTGTTTACCCCACCGCTCCTTCCTTACCCCCACCATGCCTCATATATCCACTAGGTTTGAAATACGTCTTTAGGAGGAACTGTGGGCTGCTAAAATTGTAATCACAAACGAACAAGCAAAAATCACACTGTCCCCTAATTCTGTTTCCATAACTACCATGTATATTAGTGACTTTCAGTTGTAATCTGAATGAGTTGTAGTGAACTTGTACATTGTGAGTTATGGCTTTTTGAGGTCTTCTGCATGGCACGAACGATCAACCTCAGCATTGTCAGTCTGGAGTTTTAGTTTAGTGTGACAAAACTGGGGAAACTCTCTGATGCTCTCTTCAGTGTCTTTCCAAGTAAAATATGGAACTGTGAAATTCTGGTATACAATGGTCCTTTAATTAATCGGAGAGGACCAGCATGAGTGAGTATGGGGTGGAAAAAGACATGCTTGGGTTGCCTGAAAGAGGACCTCCACTCATATCAACTTGAATGGGATACTGAAAGTCAACGTTCAATCTCAGAATTTAGGGTGGTACACTCTTTGCCGTGGGGATGCCAGCTCTTGGAGACTGGAGTTAATCAGGCTTATTTTCCTGTTGAGTTTATTGAGGATTCCAGGAAATCAGATCATCTTGTACAGTTCAACCATCACAGAGAAAGGGCTGGGTATTTGTTATCGAAAGCAGTTTCTTTCATCAAGTTGAATCTCTGCTGAGACAGCAGCCAGGTTTTGAAAGGGGGATGCACCTTTTCTCAACAGGGTTTCCTGCCATGGTTGTAAAACCTCCCAACAGGAGTAATTAGGCACCTCGCGGGCTGGCCAAGGGCCACCGCGACCTACTTGTTGCCACTGACCAGAAGCAGACCTGTGCTGCGCTTGGCTGGTGGACAAATGTCCAGAGTTTGGTTCTGATTGTGTCCTGGCTGGGTGCTTTCATGCAGTACACACACTATAAAATGTATGATGTGACCTGAAAAAGACCAGTAGTAACATAGCACAATAGGGGCAAAATGGTCCAGTTCAGGTAAATTTCCCTGCTTCTAATGCAATTTACTGGTAACATGTATTTTCTTTAACTTGAGCTTTCTAGCCCACCTGTTTGGGGTTGCATCTTGGTCTCCTCCCTCACTGTGTCACAGACATACTAGGCTCATTCTTACCTCTGTGCTTCAGCAAATAGCAGCTGCTCCTTTCTTTTCACGTGGCTGTCTCCTGCTCACCCTTCAGGTCTCAGTTTAGATGTTGCTTCTTTCAGGAAGTCTACCCAGATCTCCTAAGTCTGAAGGATCCTGTTTAGATACCCTCATAGTATTTGAACTTCTACATCGTAACACTTTTTATAGGCTTTTTGATTTTTTTATTAATTTTTAAATGCTTATTTATTTTTTGAGAGAGAGACAGACAGAATGCCAAGTGGGGGAAGGGCAGAGAGAGAGAAGGAGACACAGAATCCGAAGCAGGCTTCAGGCTCCAAGCTGTCAGCACAGAGCCTGACGCAGGGCTTGAACCCAGGAGACATGAGATCGTGACCTGAGCTGAAGTCGGATGCTGAACCGACTGAGCCACCCAGGCGCCCCTCCATCACACTTAATACACTACAATATTATACTTTGTTTTCTTGTCTGCATGTCTTCATTAGCATTTAAACTTCTTGAGGCAAGAAATGTGTCTGTTCTGTTCATAGTTGTATCCTGAAGTTGTATCATAACACTTGGCACCCAATAAACATTGAAGAACAGATTCATAAATGCATGGTATGAATTTTTGTTGGTTGATGGATTCTGAATATTTGCTTTGGCTTGGTTTTATCGGCTGTGACAGGTTTAGCTGTTGAATAAGTGAATTTGCAAATGTGAAAGGCAAATCCCTAGTGAGATAGTGCGGGTGGCTAAGTGGTGTTTCTTAGGTGTCTCTTCTCGATTTGTTGGTTGACTAAGGATGGCCCACCCGAAAGGTTCTGAATCATGTGACTTACTCAGGTGATGATCCCAGAGTTTTTCCTGGAAAAACTGAATATTTACTAAAGCACACTAATCTTTTCTTCTTGCCTTCTCTAGCACTGGAAGACACAGCGTAGTGAAGAGTATGAAGCGGAAGGTAGGAACTGTGTGTGTGTTGGAGCCTGCCTGGAAAGGAAGGGCTGCCATTCCCAGGGCACTTTCCACGTCCCCATTTCCTGCATCTCTTAGCCTTCTTCCCAACAAACAGCCTTGCATGCTGGAGGCCCGCTAAGAAGTAACGTTAAGAACAACAGCAACAACAAAAAAATTCATTCCCAATGGAAAGTTCATAGTTTTAAAATCCCAGCATTTTAACCTCACACAAGGTATGGCAACTAAGATGTAGAATTTCACTTATGGGTTAATTACTCTCTTAGGCAAACTTTCAAATTAACCTATTTAGTGTTGAACTGCTGGGGCCAGCAGATGGCACTGTGGTTCAACTGACAGAATTTGAGCCCACCTCACAGCCTACCCTGGCTGTACTCTACTTAAGTGTAATTACTGTGTGTTCTCTATGTCTCTAACCTGGAAAGACACAGCAGTAATGAACTTAATTTGTTCAATAAATAGTAACGGTAGCACTAAATGCTCTTCTCAACCCTCTAAGGTTCTTCCAGGCACACAAAACTGTCCTAGTAATTATCTCATGATTAAGTACTGACTTTATAAAACTCTCGTATGTAAGTGGAAAGTTTAATTAGAATTTATGATAGAGGATAAGTAAATTTTGATTTTTAAATGAGTTTGATCCTTAGGTTTTCAAATAAACTTTATCCTTAATGTATAGGTAACTAGCAACTTGTAGTTTACAACCATTTATTCTTTCAAGTTGGTTTGTTTGTAGGTCAGAATATTTAAACGTGTAAACAGGCTAATCCTGAGACTTTTATTATTTTATGATATTTATTATGAAATCATTTCCTTCTTAGTAAAAGCAGTTCTAGTGCTTAGACCAGAAAGAAAGTGGTGATTAGATAAAGTCTGGTGGCTGTAGTTGAGGCAGGGCTGATAAATCTCTTTGGAATGGTTCTCAACTAGCCTTCTCTTCCAGTTACATCCAAGCCTTAAGCCTGTGCATGTTTTCAGTTGGAATAAAACAGACTAGAACCTTGGTATGCTTGCACAGGAGATATTTCTCGTGTGGTATAGAAAAATGTGCCTGTTTGCTCTTGTTGCAGCCTAAGAACCAGTGGTTCCATTTCATTTGGACTACAGATTCAAATCAAGATGGAATCAGCATTTCTAGTCTCTTTCTTGTAATATTTACTTTCAAAAAGCACAGTTTTCTTTGAGAACAGGCTCTCTCTCTTTGCGATTCCTTTGGGAACAGCAGAATATATGTTTTTATTTCAGGCCAGTTAAGATTTTGGAACCCAGATGACTTGAATGCCTCACAGAGTGGGTCTTCTGCTCCCCAAGACTGGATAGAAGAGAAACTGCAGGAGGTTTGTGAAGATCTGGGGATCACCCGTGATGGTCACCTGAACCGAAAGAAGCTGGTCTCCATCTGTGAGCAGTATGGCCTGCAGAATATCGATGGAGAGGTAAGCCTTGCATCATATTTTTATTCAGGAATAATAATCATGATGAAATCTGAACTGGTCACAGGCTAGGAACAGCCATATTTTGCCTTCCTGCAGCATGTTACAGAGATTCCATTCTCTTTTTTTCCTAGGAGATAAGCCTTGAAGATTCTTTCATAAGAAGCTTGTGTTGGGTTGTGGGAAAAAAACCCAAACCTGACAATAGCTGACACTCATTGAACCCATAGTACGTGACCCTCACTGTGCTAAGCATGTTACCCCACATTATTACTAGACACTAACCAGCTTGCTGCGGCCATCATGTCAGATATATCTGTAGAAGTGGCATTCACAAAACACAATGTGAGAAGGACCTGGAGTTCAGAAGATTTGAATTGGGAGAATATTTCAAAGGCCAGACTGATGAGTTTAGGTTTTTGGAGAGAAGATCTCAGTATCAACCCTGCATTCTTCAGCAGATTGAGTAACATACAAGAAAAACTTAGATCCTGAGGATGGTCTGAGCTGCTTTTATGGGGTATATTGGTGTGCGGACAGCCTTTGGCTAGGAGACCAGCCAGCCAGGAGCTATCACAATATTCTGGTCATGAGGAAATGGAAAATGGTGGGCTGGTGGTTTTGAAGATACAGGAGAATCTTGAAGGACCCCACCCCCGCCAAAAGACTCTTGCTTGGTAAAATTCTGAGCTTTACGTTTTCTGAAAAGTTAAGATGGGAACTGGCAGGACTGGGTGCTTGAAAAGCCATGAAATATAAGAACATAAATAATTCTAAGATATGTCTTTCAAACAGCTGAAAATAAGGACTGGAGGTTAGGGCTACAGTTGTAGTTTGGGGAATCTTTGATTAGAATGCTATTTGAAACCATACTCCCTGCTTGTTCAGGGGATAAATGATATTATTCTCCTAAACCAAAAACAGATTTATCATCAAAAGCTACCAAGTAGCCTCATTTGCAGAAGAGATTTTTTTCCTCCTCCTCTGTAGTATATGTGACTTTTATATACCCATTGACTACCTTTTTAATGGCTCAGTGGTCATTTATTTTCTAGTGTTGTTGTCACATTAAATTCATCCTCCTAAATTATAAACCCAGTGCAGTATGCAGAACCTTGGGATGTTTTGCCAAGAAATACTGCACAATACTGCACAAACTTGGATTATTTATCTAAGAACAATTCTTGGAATAAACTGTAGCCATTTGTGGGGAACTGCATTTTCTTCTGTGGTGGAATTTCTAAAACGCAAGGAAAGAAGTAGCTTATTTAGTTGTTTTCCTCTCATCCAAGGATGAGTAAAAGATTGCTCATTGAGTATAGCTTTTACTTAATGTTTCCCCCCACCAAAAAAAAAAAAAGTCATGAAATACTATAGTACTTTGTACTGTTAGCTCTCGACCACAGAGGAGCTGAAAGTTCAAGATGACTTCATCCACAAGCAACTTGGGATCATAGGATTTTATGACTGAAAGCAATTTTAGATTTAGTCATCTCCTCGTTTTCTAGATAAAGAAAGTGATGTCGCTGCTGCTTGTTGCCGTTACCAGGAAGGGGAACTAGACTCACTGTCTCACGTACTATGCTTTCCAGAAGAAAGGACCGCTGTACGGCAGGGAGGGCACATGCCAAATATGGCCCAAAGTTTTGAGTTGCTTTTGCGGTTTGTTCTTTTGCTATGCCCCATGTTTAAAAATTGAACTCTTGCTACACTTTTTTTAAATCAGATTTTTCTAAAAACCCAAAGATTTGACTCCCATTTTGCTAGCCGGGAGAAGTGGCTGGCTAGCTCCTCTGGACAGGACACGCACTCGTGTGTTCAGTTCCCTGCTTTAAACGGCACTCCTTTGTAGTGTCTCAGAACCATCCTGCCTCATTCATTAATATCACCTTCCTGGCCTCTCTGGGTATTTGGGTTTGTTACCCTATTCTAGTGCATTATGTCCTAGTGTATACCTTGGGAAATCAACCATCCAGAGACCTGCCTGGCTGGTGTGTTGTGAGGAGTAAGAATGTCCTCAGGGTTCTGGATCTGGCTCCTGCACAGACTGCGGAGGTGCCCCACTTGCCCATTTGACTTGTGTTCTATTTAGCCCAACCCTGCCTTTTTCTGAATCTACAACCTTGTATTCACCACTCGCCTACTCCCCCCATGTACAATAACTGGTGGGACTCACCTGCTCCTCCACTTTGAATGAATGAGGTGATGGGTTTTTAGGCAGTCTGGAAGCTGTGCATCAATTTGGCCAGGGTCACAAGGCCAAGCAGTGTGGAGCTAAGGTTAGAGCCAAAATACGATTGTTCACTTCAGTCAGCACACCTGGATTTTACTGTGACTTATGGTTTGATGATCCCGAGAGCCTAGTCCTCTAAGAAAGTGTTCTTTGGTTTGGTAAGAACAAGACAGAACTGCTGAGGGATCTTAGTGACCTCAAAATCTCACCCAAATACCTTTCCATTGGTTTTACCGTATAATTCTCTATTAGAAACTGTTCCTCTTCCAAAGATTTTCACTCTTTAGAATGGTTTCTTGTTTCAGAGTCCTCACCAGAGGAAGTGGTATTAAAAAAAGAATAGAGACAGATGTTTCCTATTGGATGTGAATTGGAAAGAAGCATTTGAGATAAAAGAAATGCCTCAGGCACTTCCATGAAGAATAAAATCAACAATTATGAGATGATGAATCCTAGCAATAGTCCAGACTTACAAAATGGATATTGAAACTTTGAAGATGTGTTACAAAGAGGCCTTTGTTAGAATGGACCCAGTTGCAGACTCTAATGCCTTCAGATTAAATGTGTTGCTTACTCTGTGGGCATCACCTGAGAACTTGTTAGAGATTCAGAATCTCAGACCCCACCCCCAGATTTAACTGTGTCAGAGTCTGCATTTTAACAAGATCCTCAGGCGATTTCTGTTCTGTACAATGGAGGGGTGTCTGTATAGAAAAACTTAAGCCCCCAAAGGAAAGAGGAATCCAACTGCCAGGAAAAAAGAGCTCATTGCCTTTCCTCCCTATTCTGTGGTGTCAGTGACTCATGCCGCTTTATCCATCCTTTCTATTCCTCTACTGCGCTAGGGAACAAACCATCTTGTAGGCAAGGCTCCGAAGGGACTACAGTCCAGTCTCTCCTTCCCCAATTACATGATGAGGACTACTGGATTACCGTTAAAGGGCACAAAACAGCCAGGCAAAATTCCCTTCTCTTTACATCTCTTGGGGCCCTTCCGTTGGACACACACAAAATCTTTCCTATCCGACCTTCATTTCTCCCGTGCTAAAGCATTAAAACAAACCCCAATACATGCAGTCCTGTTCCAAGTAGTGCTCTAAATCCCGAGTCATGAGTTTCAGACCCAAACTCTTAGATCATTGCAGTCTGTCCCAGACCAAATTCTGCTGTGCCAACATACCAATTGCAAAAATTCAATATAAACAAAATATCGTGATGAGTCACCGCAATATAATAGTTTAATGACTGTCCAAACTTATTTCTATTGTTACAACACTGGAAAGCTATATCTTTATATTTTTTAATCCATAAGAATAATGTGTAGCAACATTAAATATTACCCATTTGGGGCGCCTGGGTGGCTCAGTCCGTTAAGCATCCCACTTCAGCTCAGGTCATGATCTCACGGTTCGTGGGTTTGAGCCCCGCATCAGGCTCTGTGCTCACAGCTCAGAGCCTGGAACCTGTTTCAGATTCTGTGACTCCCTCTCTCTCTCTGCACCCTCCCCCGCTTACCCTGTATCTCTCTGTGTCTCTCAAAAATAAATAAATGTTTAAAATTTTTTTTAATTAAAAAAAAGATTACCCATTTTACAAGAGTGTGAGTAAAAAAGAAAACAGTTAATTGCTAAATTGCCTAGGATTATGAAAATGGATGTTTATACTTAGCTTGTGGAGGAGGAAGGACATATTACTGAAAAGGAAAATAAATTCAGTGAAATGAGAATAAAGGGACATGTTATATTTCTGGAGCCTTGGGGTCAACAGTGGTGCCAGTTTCTATTGGCCACGAATGTACTTTGGGCCTTGTGTTATTTTGAGGGAAATATTTAAAGTAAATGGTTACTCTTTTTCAGATGCTTGAGGAAGTCTTCCATAATCTTGATCCTGATGGTACAATGAGCGTAGAAGATTTTTTCTATGGCTTATTCAAAAATGGAAAATCCCTCACACCATCAGCATCTACTCCATATAGACAGTTGAAAAGGCACCTCTCCATGCAGGTGAGAGAGAAATAGGAAGTGGTTTCTTTGTGAGCAGAAGTTAAAACCCACTTGAATAGTTTCTAATGAATTAATCTGTTGTTTGAAGAAGAATAAGGAGAAAGAGAGAAGCAAAAGAAGAAGAAAGACTAAACCATTGGGAAGGAAAAGTTGGGTTTGAAAAATGACCATAAATTACAGAGTGGGAAGCCACTAATTATGCCCCTTAATGTTAGCTGTGGGTCCAAAGAAACCTGGTGTTAAGTAAAGACACATCTCATCTATGTCAAGGATCTCCCTACCAGAGCAACTGTTTTTGATAAGTTTTGCATTCTTGACTCCCTTGGGAAAGACAGATCAAAGGGGCTGCGTGACTTTATTTTTTTTTTTTTAATAGTGTTAGAAAGACACGGCTTCTGCTCAGTGTGGTCAGGACGGACCAGTTGGGGTCAATGTCTGGTTGAAAGGCCTGACCTTGCTCAAGTCTCTTTCTTCTCCCAGTCCTTCGATGAGAGTGGACGACGTACCACAACCCCATCAGCAATGACAAGTACCATTGGCTTTCGGGTCTTCTCCTGCCTGGATGATGGGATGGGCTATGCATCAGTGGAGAAAATACTCGACTCCTGGCAGGAAGAGGGCATTGAGAACAGCCAGGAGATCCTGAAGGTGTGGCAGCTAAAATGAGAGAGAAATGACAGACTGGGGAAGGGTTGAAAAATTCCAGAGCTTTTGAAACTGATTTGATTTGATTTGATTTGATTTGATTTGATTTGATTTCTCCTTAATGATTCCTCTGTTCACAAGCTCTCAGAAATAAGAAGTAACTTTTCTTACCCCCTTTAACCAGGAGTCTGTTGCTAACTACTTTCCATGTTTTTAACACCAAAACTATTGACAAGTGCAATGCTCTTAACTGATCTCTGGCTGGTAAAGATTAGAGTTATACTATTGTATTTATTTACAGTGCTAGAGAATATTTTGTTAAACATGCACGTAAGCATGTATGGTTTCCTTAGAACTTCAATTGAAGGTTGTTCCCAAGCAGTCACTAAAGAAATGTGATCATCCAACTTCTTGACTGTACATTCACTTCTCTGGGTTTGTATACCCTTCACAGCTTCCGCTTTAGAGGACAGAACTTGTAATTATCTTGAACTTGTTCTGATTTCTAGGCCTTGGATTTCAGCCTTGATGGGAATGTCAACCTGACAGAATTGACACTGGCTCTTGAAAATGAACTTTTGGTCACCAAGAATGGCATTCACCAGGCAGCTCTGGCCAGCTTTAAGACTGAGATCCGGCATTTGCTGTGAGTTGCTTGGAAGGTCCACCCGCCCTATTCCCTTTCCTGCCTGCCCAGCAAGTCCTTTAGAGGCCTGTGACACATTCTGTATGCAAATGGGGCTAATCTCCTATCATCTCACTATTGTGAAAATTAAGGAACGCTTAGATTTGCATGTAGGCTTCTGAAGGAAGCTGTGGAAGTGTTTATTTTGGACGGGTTTTGGTTGCCTTGGTTTTGTTTTTGTACGGAAGCCAGCCAGAGGAGAACTTTTTGGGGTCCACCTGTTGCTTAGAGATGGTTTCCCTTTAACTTGGGCTATTTCTCTTTGAAGGGAGCGAGTTGATCAAGTGGTCAGAGAGAAAGAGAAGCTACGGTCAGATCTGGACAAAGCTGAGAAGCTCAAGTCTCTAATGGCTTCCGAGGTGGATGATCACCATGCGGCCATCGAGCGGCGCAATGAGTACAACCTCAGGTGGGACTGGCGGGGCCAGGGCCCGCTTTCCCACCACGCTGGCCAGGGTGGCGGGGCTCAGCCTGCCTGCCTGCTCAGCCACACCTGGACGCTTTAAGGAAAGCAGGACCCAGTAGATATTTCCATCTCTAGGACTCTGTGTTTCCATTTTTGGTGGGTCTGCATAAGGACCTCTGAGGGTCTTCCTGGCAGCTTATTGGTCTTTCCTCCTCACAGGAAACTGGATGAAGAGTACAAGGAGCGAATAGCAGCCTTAAAGAATGAACTCCGAAAGGAGAGAGAACAGATCCTGCAACAGGTGGGCAAGCAGCGCTTGGAACTTGAGCAGGAAATCGAAAAGGCAAAAACAGAAGAGAACTACATCCGGGACCGCCTTGCCCTCTCTTTAAAGGTAGTCATCCTCTTAGTTCTCTGGTCCGTGTCCCTGCTGGGAACACCACATGGAAAACCACAGCTCTGGAAAGAGGGCAGGTCTGCCCAGGGTGCAGTCCCAGGATTCCCGTATATTTGTCCTGCTGGGTCATGACCCAGACGTGACAGAGCCCCTGCTGGGATCTAGATTGCAGGAGTGTCCAGGCTTCTGGTGTGCCCTCGGTGTCAATCAGCAGATCTTGTTCTTCTCACCCCTTGTAGTTGCACTGAGTCATTAGGGCTCTTTGGCACCTGGTTGATGACTTCTCTCTTCCCCATCCCCCACCCGATTCTGAGCAGATGGCATGGTCTCCTGCCACACACAGGTCGTCAGCTTTGTTTCTTTGCTTCCAAATATGTCTTTTGCCTTATACATCCTCTCCTCTTTTCTCGTGTCTCAGTAGAGGAAACGATCCTTCTCTTCACTGGACTCTGATACGGTGCAGCCTACTTCCATTCTGGATACCGCTACTTACCGGAAAACCTCGATCACGTTATCCAGACCTGTTTCCTAATGTACAAAATGGGCACCATTGTAATATCTGCCTCATAGCATATTTAATATGGGGACTAAATGAGATGCTGCATATGCAGCCTGTAAAAGGAAATAAGTACGCGTAGTATATTAACTGTTGTTCCTGAAACTCCACACATCAAAAACTGAGCTAACTCTCCCACCCTAACCATCAAATCGCCTCTTTTTCTGAATTTTCTCATTAATCTGTGTCATTACTATGAGGTGTCACAGGAGCTAAAACCCTCAGTCATCCCCGCTCATTAGTCTCTAAGTCCTGTTGGTGCTCTGAAACGTCTCTCAGATTTATCCCCTTCCTCCATTTCTGCAGGCTCTGAACAGGTTCAGAATTTCAGCTGACTTACGTGCATCTTTTCTTCTATCCATCCAGCCTCCATATGGCCACTAGAGTTACATTACTCAAGAACCCTAAAGAACTTAGTGAAGACGTGCTGTTACCCTGTGTAAAAGTACAGCGTGGTAGCACTGAAGGCCCTTGGAAGGGCACTTGTCCTTATACTTTTCCACCCTCAGGGCCTGCCAGCAACCCCCTGAGCCATGCCCTTAATCCGACCGCACCTGCCATCAGATCGCGCAGTTTCTCAGTGGGTCTTTATGCTCCTTCACTGCTTTTGCCAACACTGCAGACCACAGGACTCTTTCATTCCCATTATGCTTCCTTTTTTCTTGACGGAAGATAGTGCATCACAGATAATTGTGTCTACATCTGTCTCCCTCCCCACTGTCCAGATTGTGTTTTCCCTATGGTCAGTAACAGAATCTGATTTGTTAGTTTCCAGAGCACCAGAACAGGCCCAATACACCACAGAGATTGCTCCTGTTTTGACATCTAAATTTAGACATGCTTTGAAAGCTTAGAGGTCTAGCACCGGCATTTTGGGAGAAAGTGTTGTTTTTTTTGTTTTTTTTTTTTGTTTTTTTTAGGAAAAAATTCTTCAAGCATACTCTTTTTCATTCCATATTGCTATGTGAAGAGTGTGAACTAGAATGTATTAAAAATATACTGGCTTTATATTCTTCTGGCAAAATACGCTTTGAAAATAATGTTCTTCCAATCAGCCTTTAACACTGGAATGGAACATATGTCAAAATGCATGTCTGTGTAGTTTTATTTTTTTAAACAAATGTGGGTGGAAATCTCTCCAGCAAGTTTTATATATACAGAAAAAAAACCACCATTTGTGGACTTCTGTTCATGTGTTATTATAATAATTTCAGTATACAAGTTATGAAAAACTTGTATGTGCAGCTTTTACACCATTAAGCCAAAATAAGATTGTAAAGTAAATATCAACAAACTATATCTTTAATAAATGATATTAATTTTAGTTTTTTTTAAGTTCATTTCGAGAGAGAGCAGACATAAATGGGGAAGGGGCAGACAGAGAGAGGGAGAGAGAGAATCCCAAGCAGGCCCCACACTGTCAGTGAAGAGCTCGATGTGGAGCTCAAACTCATGAACCATGAGATCATGACCTGAGCTGAAGTCGAGAGTGGCGGGCGATCAACCAACTGAGCCACCCAGGCTCCCCTAGTTATTCTACCTTTTTATGTTTTTTCCGGAGTTCTCTTTTGCTGATAGGTAGCCTGCAGCCAATTGTAACAATGTGTTGAGAATGTTTTTCCATGTCATTAAATACTACATTCCAATGCTATTGGAGAGAAATACGATGCAAACCGTATATGTAACTTCAAATTTTCAAATGGCTGCATAAAAAGAAACAGGTGAATTTAATTGGAATCATTTTATTTAATCTAGTATCTCCAAAACATTATTTAGACTCCTAATCCATATACAAAAATTATTATTGAGCCATTTTATAGTTTTGCACTAACTTTTCAAAATCTACTGAGTATTTTACATACTTAGAGTATATCTCTATTTGTACTATACATGTTTCAAGCGCTTAATATCTGCATGTGTCTGCTAACAGCTACCGTATTAGCATAGTTCTGTAGGATCAAAGGAAGGGGGCAAACTTTTGGGTTATAAGATAAATACCAATTTTTTAATCTTTACTTTTGTCTTCTGTAATCTACTGAAACTTTCAAGCTGAGCAAATTTTCTCAGTCTAGAGCATGAATTTATGCTTCATATAAAATGGTACAACAGTTTGCTAATTTTTAATCTGTGCCCATTTACTTTCCCCAAATTGCTTCAGGAAAACAGTCGTCTAGAAAATGAGCTTCTGGAAAATGCAGAGAAGTTGGCAGAGTATGAGAATCTGACAAATAGACTTCAGCGAAATTTGGAAACTGTGTTAGCAGAAAAGGTAAACCTGTTTGAATTTGATCTCCTGATATGCAGCCCAAAGTGTAGTTTACTCAAAAGAGCAGAAGCAATGCCACCAAGTAAATTTCTGTTAGGGAAGTATTTAGATGGCTAAAGTAAGCCGTCAGTTTTACAGGGATCTAATTTCGGAGATTGGATACAAGGGAAACATTGCATATACTGAGAAATGACCCCTGCCTTAGTTGAACACATCACTCTAGAATGTTCTCCCATCATCCAGTTGGTAATGTTCTGCATAAATGTCACATTCCTTTCATACTCAAGAGACCATACTCTGGGTGAACACCAGAAACTGAGGCCTTTGGTGGGTTAAAGGTCCAAGACGGACACTTGGGGCAAATGAAAGCTGTGTCCTTGTCCTTTTCTAGTTTGGTGACCTTGATCCTAGCAGTGCTGAATTCTTTCTGCAAGAGGAGAGGCTGACACAGATGAGAAACGAATATGAGCAGCAGTGCAGGGTAAGTGACTAAAGAGAAATTAAGTCCAGGAGGGCCTGGGTTCAAATCCCACTTCACCATTTACTAGTGACCATAAGCATGTTACTTAATCTGTGGGTTCCTCAGTTCCTCATCTATAACATGGTAAAAATAAGAGTACCTGCTCAGTAGGTTGTGAAGAATTAATGAGTGAATATATGTAGAGTGCTTAGAACAGAGCCTGGAACATAGAAAGCACTTAGCCCAAACGTTAGCTGTTATTATTTAGTGCCCAGAATATTAGGGAATCATGCAAACTGCATTTAAGTCTGTTTTAGCTAGGTCAGAAATTGCTAGTGCTTAGGGGAGAATATAGTAGTTTTATTCCAGGTAGAGAAATACGTGGTCATATTCATGTGCTTATTCCAAAATGAGCATTTTTTAAAAATGTTTGTTTGTTTTTGAGAGAGAGAGGAAGACACAGAATCTGAAGCAGGCTCCAGGCTCTGAGTTGGACATGGGACTTGAACCCAAGAACCATGAGACCATGACCTGAGCCAGAGTCAGACACTTAAACCAACTGAGCCACCCAGGTGCCCCTCTTAAATTTTTTTTAACATTTATTCATTTTTGAGAGACAGGGGCAGAGAGAGAGGGAGGGAGACAGAGAATCCAAAGCAGGCTCCAGGCTCTGAGCTCTCAGCACAGAGTTGGACGTGGGGCTCAAACTCATGAATCGCGAGATCATGACCTGAGCTAAAGTCGGATGCTCACCCGACACCACACACCCCTGAAGTGAGCCTTTCTTAATCAAACATTGCAGACCTAATCTGATGTAAATTGCTTTTGTCGTGTGTGTGTGTGTGTGTGTGTGTGTGTGTGTGTGTGTGTGTGTTTTCCCTGGATACCTTATTTTATTTACAAAATGCAGATGAGGCAGAAACCACTCAGGGCTTTAGCTACTAATAATTACAAATTCATACCAGAAGAGACAAAAACATTTTTATAAATAATGGGCATCTTTGATTTTTTTTTTAACTCTCCTAAACTTAGGAATTTGGGATCTTTTTCCCTTCTTGAATCACAAAAACTTGTTGATTTTAACAAGGTAGGTATAACAGAGTTCTGACTACTTTAGACGTAAATTGTATTTGTGCAGAAATGAGGAAAACAATCACTTTCTTATGAGGTTGCCCACAGCCTGCCTTCCCAGGAAATATATGTGCACATTTTGAGAAAAGAGATGAAACATTAATGCCACTTTTACAATTAAGTTTTGGCTCTCGGCTCTAATCAAGTAGAGGTGTTTTCCTTATAGTTCTTAAAAGTTAGGATTTCATTAGTAAAATCTGTCATCTCTACCTCCCCAAATCCATTCCATTATATTCTTAAACAGATTATACACCATTCACCCACATAGTTCACCATTTAGAGTGTACAATTCAGTGTCTTTTAGTATATTCACAGAATTGTACAATCACTACCATAGTTGATCTTAGAACGTTCTCATCACCCCAGAAAGAAACTCCCACTCCACTTAGCTGTAATCTCCCCCTAGGCAACTAATAATCCACCTTTTTTGTCTCTGGAGACTTGCCTATCCTTTACACTTCATATAAGTGGAATCCTACACTATGTGGTCCTTTGTGGCTGACCTCCTTCACTTCCTGTAGTGTTTTCAAGGTTCATCCATGTTGTAGTGAGTATCAGTGGTTTCTTTCTTTCTTTCTTTCTTTCTTTCTTTCTTTCTTTCTTTCTTTCTTTTTCTTTCCTTTCTTCTTTCTTTCTTTTTCTTTCTTTCTTTCTTTCCTTCGTTCCTTCCTTCTTTCTTTCTTTTTTCAGTCTTTTAGTTTTACTTATTTTGACAGAGAGATAGAAAGCAAGCAGGGGAGGGGCAGAGAGAGGGAGACAGAATCCCAAGCAGGCTCTGCACTGTGTGTGCAGAGCCCGATGCAGGGCTTGAACTCATGAATTGCAAGATCATGACCTGAGCCAAAATCACAAATCTGATGCTTCACCAACTGAGCTACCCAGGCACCGCTGACTTCCTTTCTTTTCACTGCTACATTATATTCCATTTTATGGCCATACCACATTTTATTTATCCATTCATTAGTTGATGAACATTGGGGTTAGTCTGACTGTTATGAATAATGCTGCTGTGAACATCTGTGCACAAGTTTTTATGTGGATATGTTTTCATTTCTCTTTGGTATATGTCTGGGGGTGGAACTGCTGGGTCATATGATCACTGCATGTTTAACTTTTGGAGGAACTGCCAAACTTTTCCCAAGGGGTTTGCTCCATTTTACTTCCTACCAGAACGAGAGTTCAAATTTCTGTACATCATTGACAACAGTTGTTTTTGCTGTCTTCTGGAGTCGACCCATTCCTCGGGGTTATGAAGTGGTACCTCACTGTGTTTTTTATTTGCATTTCCCTGATGACTAATGATTTTGAGTATCTCTTCAAGGGCTTCTCAGAATATATCTCCTTTTTTTTTTAAAAGCTTATTTATTTTGAGAGAGAGAGCATGAATGGGGTAGGGGCAGAGAGAGAGGGAGAGAGAGAATCCCAAGCAGGCTTTGTGTTGTCAGCGCAGAGCCTGATGCAGGGCCTGAACTCACGAACCACAAGATCATGACCTGAACCGAAGTCAAGAGTTGGATGCTTAACCAGCTGACTGAGCCACCCAGGTACCCCTGCATATCTCCTTTTCCAGGAAGGTCTATTCAGATCCTTTGCCTAATTTTTAAATGGATTGTCTTTTTATTATTGAGTTGTAATAGTTCCTTGTATACTCTAGTTAGAAGTCCCTTATCAGACCATGTAATTTGCAAAAGCTATCGTCCTATTCTGTGGGTTGTCTTCTTACTTTCATGATACCCTTCAAAATAAAAAGGTTTTGGTTTAGTGATGTCCAGTTTATCTTTTTTCTTTTGTTGCTTGTGCTTTTGCTGTCATGTATAAGACTTGTAGTGGTTTTTGGTTTTTATGGAGTGCCTGGGTGGCTCAGTTGGTTAAGGGTCCAACTCTTGATTTCGGCTCAGGTGATGATCTCATGGTTTATGGGATTGAGCCCCACATCAGGCTCTCTGCTGTTAGCACAGAGCCTGCTTCGGATCATCTGTCCCCCTCTCTGCCCCTCTCCCACTCCCTCTCTCTGAAAAATAAACATTTAAAGTAAACGAACTAAAAAAGGAAAAAAAGACTTGTGTTTGTTTCTAAACTCCAGGTATTACAAGACCAAGTGGATGAACTCCAGTCTGAGCTGGAGGAATTTCGCACACAAGGCAAAGTGTTGAGACTTCCCTTAAAGAACTCAGTGTCAGAAGAACTTGAGGTTAACAGTGGTTGCATTGAGCCTGACCAGGGTAAGCCATTCAGACATCATCTTTTCAGAGGCTCTGCCTTTGGTTTTTGCTTTTATGGCCATGGTTGAATATAAAATTGCACAACTTTGGCAACCAACAAAATTTAAAAAACAACCTGGGCAGTACTATTTTCTTGAGCTATTTCGCTTATGGTCTGTTTTCTTCATTTATCCTTAAAGTCTTTATGAGAATATTTCTTTCTGATTTTTATATGTATCAACAAAGGAATGGAAAAATCAAACCCCAAGGATATTTGCTTTGTTTAAAAAAACAAACAAAAGAAATTGGCCACAGGTCTGAGAATCCAGGGCTTGGGAGTGTTACAATTCAGACACTGAGCTATTGCTGAGTGCTCCCTTTCTTAAGGAGTGCCTCACTGGTATGATGATCATTTTGGAGAACAGGCCAACCAGAAACCAGAATTTGGTTTTCTTACACTGGCTGTGTTAAACATTGGCATTGCCTCTGTAAAACAACTAAGAAGTTAAATAAGTGTTGGTTGCCTGTGCCTTTGAGGAGGACTTTGAGTGGGAAAGTTGGAAGGCAGAGTTGTTTGGGAACGCTGCTACTTTTTCATCAGCTTTTTTCCTCCCTCCTGGCATTCTGCCTCTTTCCTCAGTGTGTGGAGTTTGAATTTCACAAAGGGCTCATAATAAATTTTTCTGTTACGGTCTTCCCCACTGCTATGCAAGTACTGGTTCTTACAAGGATTGTTTATTCCTCTCCTTACCAGTTTATTCTAGAATAAATAAGGGATTTGGGAGGGGATGGGGAGAGGGCTTAAGACCTTTCCTGTGATTCTAAGTATGTGGTCAGTAGCCTTACTGTAGTGTGAGGATGGAACCCAACTGGTGGTGTATGATGCATCTCAGAAGCTTCTCTGGACTTTTTCCATAGTTTTGGGGGTTCTCCTCATGGGCATGCGAAGCTGTGCCGTGCTGGGGTGGTCCATATCCCAACTATCACTTCTCAGTTGGGGATATGCCAACTGGAAAAGAAAGAATATATGGCAAGAAAGCCCAAGGCAAGACTTCATCTTGGATGCTAGCCATGCCCTTTCTCCTGTCTGCCTATGGACCCCATGTGAGAAACTTTTTTGAATCCCCTGCCTTAAGAGATTCTCACATAGTATTAGACATGATCGTTTTGTCTGTGTACAAGCTCAGTCTCCAATTTATGCTTCACATTTCAGCGTCCTTCCCCGTCATCATCAGGGATGGTTGCAGAAGTGAACTCATATCAATGACTTGAGAATTTTTCTCCCAAACTGCCTATATCCAGGTTCCTAACCTATGCCCTATTTTTTTTTTTCAACGTTTATTTATTTTTTGGGACAGAGAGAGACAGAGCATGAACAGGGGAGGGGCAGAGAGAGAGAGGGAGACACAGAATCGGAAACAGGCTCCAGGCTCTGAGCCATCAGCCCAGAGCCCGACGCGGGGCTCGAACTCATAGACCGCGAGATCGTGACCTGGCTGAAGTCGGACGCTTAACCGACTGCGCCACCCAGGCGCCCCTGCCCTATTTTTAAAATTTTAGCTGATAATTTAAAATGGGGCTCCACTTGCACTATAGGAAATTAATATCGTAATACTCAATCTTCTGTCATTGAGGGGTGGGTTCGCTGTCTTGACCCATGAAGTTAACGCCTCCAGGCATCTTCTGCCACTTTGCCCCTCTGCTCGTTTGTCACCATAGTATTTGTTGGATGGATAGAAAGCTGATTGGTTTAATCAAACTACCTCACTTCCCAGCATTTTTCATTTTAGAAGGTCACATTTAAACCACTGTTTCCATACCTAACCCCACCTACTCTTCAAAAAGATGAATTCTGTGAAGGTTTGGTAGTCTGTACATGAAAGAATCTTACTGTATTGCCTGTTCACCTTCATTTTTTTCTTGTTTTCCATAATGCTTGAAAGCAAGAAACCTCTTGGCATCGATGGTTTCCTAGTAGATCTCATCAGTGGTAATTGAGGCTGAGATTTATTCCTTTAACTGGACGTTCCTTCCTCAGAAGCCAGTTGTGTTATTGAAAGAGCCTGCTGGAGGGTCACCAGATCCCATGTGTTTTCAGGGCTTGGTTCTGAAGAATGCAATCCACTGACTATGAGCATCGAGGCAGAGCTGGTCATTGAGCAGATGAAAGAACAACATCACAGGGACTTATGTCGCTTAAGACTGGAGCTTGAAGATAAAGTAAGTCCTTCTTATTCTGTTCTCTCATTTTTTGAGCTCTGGCAAGCTTTGGCTTGTAGGACATACTTAATTCTTTTTACTTCATGGAGCATCCCTTTAAAAAAAAAATTTTTTTTTAATGTTTATTTTTGAGAGAGCACAAGCGGGGCAGGGGCAGAGAGAGACACACACACACAGGAATGTGAATCAAGCTCCAGGCTCTGAGCTGTCAGCACAGAGCTCGATGCGAGGGTCAAACTCACGAACCGTGAGATCATGACCTGAGCTGAAGGACGCTTAACTGACTGAGCCACCCAAGCGCCCCATAGAGCATCACTTTTTATACATTTCCTCTTGTGTCTGGTGGCTACCAAACCCCCCTTTGCTCAGGATGGTTTTGTAGGCTGAGCATGAGGCCTTTTTCCTCCTAGGAGACAGTTTCTCCAAAATGTATTATCTTCAGCCCTAGCAAGCATGGAACTTGAAGGCCAATGCATTATTTCTAACTTGTTGAGAAACATGTTAATAAGACCGAAGAAAGCCCTGTGATACAGCATTAGGTACAACTTCTGAATCTTGGACTCCAAAACCCTTCACCACAGTGCTTCAGCTTAGATTCCTGGTCTTTGTTACCTTCTCCTCCAGCCAAGCCAGTAGTTCACCGTGCTTCATCAAGCTGTCCTCTTTCGTTCATGCCATCACATGCTGTGTTATTCCTTTCTACCTCTTGAAAGTCTACTCACCCTTCAGAGTTTAGATCAAATGATACCTCCTGCATGAACCCATTCCTGAATACCCTTGACCAATATATTTGTCTGTTTTCTATAGCTCTTATATTTTTCATTCTGCCTTGTAGCGCACTTGTTTGTGCTTGTCAAAACCATGTCTAGAGCTGTTTCTCCTTGATGGCAGGACTATATCATATGCAACTTTGTGTCCCCACAAAGCCCACCGAGTGCCTATGATAGGTGTTCAATCAATATTTGAATTTAAGTATGTTAAACCCCTACCTTTACAGTTGGACAGGATGCCTGGGAAGACCAACACTATCTATGTGAAAGTCTAGTCATTTTTATCAGAGTTGTTCAGAAACTAATAAAATTCAACCAAGTTAAAAAGGAAAACAAACTATGCCTGCCTCAAACATAGCTTATTTAACATGTTTTCGAGCTGTCAAAATGGGAAAGCTGAGGAATGTCACTTGGGAAAAAAGTAGTTACCGCCCCCATCACCTTCCCACCGCCTTGAGTTGGATAACATTGTGGTGGTTTCGCTTTGTGACTTCAGGTGCACCATTATGAAAAGCAGCTAGATGAAACCAAGGTCGCCTGTGAAAAGGAGCAAGACAGCATGAAGCAAAAGTACGAGAATGAGGTCCGCGTCTTGGAAAAACAACTAAGTGACCTTAAAAACGAAACTGCAGAACTTCGGGGCCAGGCAGTGGTGCTCAAGGAAGCACAACATACAACTCTCTGCAGACACGAGGAGGAGAAAAAAGAACTGCAGACGAGGTGGGATGAGGAAAAGGCTCACCTGCGGGAGAAGCTGAGGCTGGAACACGAGATGGAACTCAAGGCTCGCCTGGAGCAGGCGGAGGACAGCTTTACCCGGGAGAGGGAAGGACTCCTTCGGAATGGCACCTGGACAGAAGAGAAGGTGAGAGGCTTGACTCAGGAACTCGAGCAGCTTCACCAGGAACAGCTGAAAAGCCTGATGGAGAAGCACACTCTTGAGAAGGAGGAGTTGCAAAAAGAGCTCTTGGAAAAGCACCAAAGGGAACTTCAAGAGGGAAGGTAAGAAAATAGGGGAAGTGGAGAAACCAGAATACTGTCCCTTGGGGGCACCAGAAGTTCCAGGCAGTTAAGGAGACTTTGACTAGATGCTTTAGTTTCTCAACCTGTTTTGCCAGTGTTTGGACATGAGCCTACCCTGAGATTATTCAAACGGTGGTTTTGTTTTTTGTTTTTTTTTAAAGACAGTATTTCTTAATGTTTGTTTATTTTTGAGAGAGTGTAAACAGGGAGGGGCAGAGAGAGAGAGAGAAACACAGAATCCGAAGCAGGCTCCAGGCTCCGAGCGGTCAGCACAGAGCCTGACACAGGGCTCAAACTCACAAACTGCGAGATGAAGACCTGAGCCGAAGTCAGACGCTTAACCCACTGAGCCACCCAGGTGCCCCCACAGACAGTATTTCTTGTTTCAATTATCCTTTCAGGTTCCAGATGAGAGTAATTACTGTGTTCTGAGAAAGGCTATTTATGAGCTAAATTCTGGGTAGAGTTCTCCAAATTATGAAGTGCAGCTTTGTGCTTAACTTTCCCCACATGAAATCTCAGGTATATTTGAGGGCTTTGATCCCTTATACTCCGATTACCTTACTGCTGCTTTATTAAATAAGGAAAAGCAATGAATATATTAATATGTGTGGTTTATGTGACTACTACCCTCCAATGTATACCTAATTAAAATGAAGGAATTATTTACATTTTCCGAGTTAGGGGTTAGGTTAATGTGCATTTGGTCGTGAATGTGAAATATCAGTGTACGTTTTTGGTTAAAAATCCATAAACATATACATCCAGGAGGATGCCAAAGAAGGCAGTTTCTAGATTTTCTCTAAACACAGTGAGGTAAGTCTTTTAAGTTAATTGTGGCTGCCAGTCTCAGCCCTCAGGAATGAGACCCCGTCTCTGTATAAATCGATTACACAGGAATACGTGAAGACCGTTTTTATAGAAAGGATATAAATTGTCTGCTTGGCGGCTTCTCCCGTGCGCGGGAAAATGTTTTTTGTTTGCTTCTGGAGGCGGTGGCAGTTTCAGTAATGCTGTATGTTGACTACATTTAGGGAAAAAATGGAAACTGAGTGTAATAGAAGAACCTCTCAGATAGAAGCCCAGTCTCAGGCTGATTGTCAGAAGGTCACCGAGAGGTGTGAAAGCGCTCTGCGGAGCCTGGAGGGGCGCTACCGCCAAGAGCTGCAGGAGCTCGTGGAACAGCAGCTGGAGGAGAGATCCCAGTGGGAGTTTGAGAAGGACGAGCTCGCCCAGGAGTGTGCCGAAGCCCAGGAGCAGCTCAAAGAGACTCTGCAAAGAGAGAAAGCAACGTCTCTGGTCCTGACCCAGGAGAGAGAGATGCTGGAGAAAACGTACAAGGAACATTTGAGTAGTATGGTCGTTGAAAGAGAGCAGCTGCTCAGAGACCTGGAAGATCTAAGAAACGTGTCTGAAAGTCAACAGAGCCTGCTGTCCGACCAGATACTTGAGCTGAAGAGCGGTCGTGACAGAGGTCCGAAGGACGGGGAGCAGGTCCCGTGCCAGGCGGGCGCCTCAGAGCAGCAGGCCAGCCAGCAGCTTGAGAAGCTGGAAATGGAACGTGACCGGGAGAGGCAGGAAATGATGGCCAAGCTTCAGGCCATGGAGAGTGTCCACAGGGTGACCTGTGAGAAGGCAGATCAGGAGAGGGCCCAGATGAGCACAGAAATCTCCAGGCTGCAGAATAAAATCAAGCAAATGCAGCAGGTGGCATCTCCTTTCTCCAGGAGAGAGAGTGGCTGCCGGGCAGCAGGAGGCGAGGACGCAGAAGGAAGTGGAGCCATGTCCCTGCTCCAACAAGGAAAGCAGTTGTTGGAAGAGAATGGAGATGTTCTCTTGAGCCTGCAGAGAGCTCATGAGCGAGCAGTGAAGGAAAATGTGAAAATGGCCACTGAAATTTCGAGATTGCAACAGAAGCTACAGAAATTAGAGCCAGGGTCGGTGATGTCTTCTTGTTTAGACGAGCCAACTACTGGATTCTTTGGAAATTCTGTGGAACGGACAGAGCCATTTTTACTGCAAAATCAAACGAAGCAAGTAGAAGGTGTAGCCACACGGTGCGCCCTAAGTGACCTACAAGACGATGAGGCCCGGGATCTGGGAAGTACAGGGACGAGCTCAGCTCAGAGACAGGAGGTCAAGACAGAGGAGTCTGAGGCATCAATAGAGAGTTTTTCCGAGCTCGAGAATAGTGAAGAGACCAGGACCGAGACCTGGGACCTGAAGAATCAGATTTGTCAGCTTCAGGAACAGCTAATGATCTTGCGTGCAGACTGCAGTCGAGCTTCTGAAAAGAAACAGGACCTACTTTTTGACGTTTCTGTGCTAAAAAAGAAACTGAAGATGCTTGAGAGAATCCCCGAGGCTTCCCCCAAGTATAAATTGTTATATGAAGATGCCAGCAGAGAAAATGACTGTCTTCAGGAAGAGCTGAGAGTGATGGAGATGCGCTATGACGAAGCCCTAGAAAATAACAAAGACCTCACTTCGGAAGTTTTCAAATTGCAGGATGAGCTAAAGAAAGTTGAAGAGGTGACTGAAACCTTCCTTAGCCTGGAAAAGAGTTACGATGAGGTCAAGAGAGAAAACGAGGAACTGCATGTTCTGGTTTTGAGGCTTCAAGGCAAGATCGAGAGGCTCCAGGAAAGAGTGGTGCTGCGCTGTGACTGCTTCTCCTTATGGGAAGCCCATTTAGATAACCGGGAAGTTCAACCTGACGAGAAGGTGCTCGGACGACATCAGACATGGGAAGAGCGTGTGCCCACGGTGACAAGTGTCCATCATATTCTAGAAGAACATTATCAAGAAAACCAGTACCTCGAGCAGCAGAATGCACAGCTCGTGGGAGAAGTAAAAGCGAGTGAAATTGCCTGGCTTCACAGAACAATCCGGACACATCGAGAGAAGCCCAGAGTACAGAACCAAGTTCTGCTGGAGGAAGACACCGCTCTGCCAGGCCTTCAAGACGGACATCTTCAGCGTCAGGCCACCATAGCGGAGTTGGAACTGGAGAAGAAGAAGCTGCAGGAGCTGACTAGAAAGCTGAGGGAGAGAGTCACTACTTTAGTTAAGCAGAAAGATGGACCTTCTCAAGGAGAAAACGAGGAAGAACTAAAGGCGATGATGCATGACTTGCAAATCACGTGCAGTGAGATGCAACAGAAAGTTGAACTTCTGAGGTAATGTATATACCTTCTGAACTTCATGGAATCCCAAGAGCATCTCACCAAATCTAACTTCCGCCGCTTGCTGTGCCTAGAGAAACTAACCTGTTAGTCCTCAGGAAGAGAGCAGTACTGTAGGCTTCCTTCTGCTTCTGTGTCGTATTAACAGATAGAATAACCCTGCCTAGGAGGCATCCCCTCCCCCTCTACAGGAAATAAATGTCATTTGTTCAGGGTGTCCTAACGGAGCGTGTTTGCTGTTTAACCATGTGTATCCTCAGTGTGTGTCAAGTCTTTAACTGTTTTCTAGCATTTCATTTGGATTGGTAGTTTTGGTTTTGCTAAATGTTAATTGTTTCCCGCATTTGATGGAACACGTTCTGTGAGAATGCCTTTTGTTTATGATTAACTCACTTGGTAGATGAGAACTCTTATACTAATATAGGAAAAATTCTGTGCTTTGTGACTTACAGTTCTTCACTCCTATCACTTGAAGTACATGCTGATATTGTGTAAACAATGGAAATTTATCTTAGAACATATCATTTGGTTGAAGAGCTATCAGATTCTAATAAATGTGCTTGTACTTAAGACAGAAATGAAACTCATGCGAAACACTGCTCACTTGACTTTATATAACACGATTGCAATAGTCTTCCAGCAAGTTTGGTTTTCAAAGACTTGGAAAATATCACATCACGTTATCTGAATGATCTGAAACAAAATAATTGAATTCCAGATGTAGTTTTTCCCCTTCTTCAGACCATTTTTAGTTCTAAAAATCAGAACATAATGAGTTGAAAAACATCACAAAGTGAACATGAGTGTACATATTTCTTTTTATTTATGTAGTGAATTTCCTTTTTCTAGGTGCCCTGAGGTCTGTAACTAAAGCTAATACAGCTTAGCAATATGGCCCATGCCTATATAGAGCAGGTAGGACCTGAGCCCGAGATAAATGGAAGTTTTTTTGCCCAAAGCAGTATGGTTGCCACTGAGAAAACCAGCAAACATAGCGGGCGTAGTCTCGGTTCCTGTCTCTGTCTGCGCTCCAGTGTTTCAGCCACACTTCCCTAATGTCTTTTAGTGAAATTCTTATCTCCCCAAAAGAAAGGGGTCAATATGTCAGAGCTTGATTTCCAGTACTAAAAGTCTACTAATTTAGACATCTCATTTTAACTGGCATGGAATACTTGTTTTATTGGAAGTTCCTAGAAAGCATTTTCCAAAGATGCCACATGACTGCCTTGTTATAATGATATTTTTAAATCTCTGTGATTCAGATGTGAATCTGAGAAGCTTCAAGAAGAAAATTCTATTTTGAGAAGTGAAATTACTACTTTAAATGAAGAAGATAGCATTTCTAACCTGAAATTAGGGAAATTAAATGGATCTCAGGAAGAAATGTGGTAAGACATATAAATTTTCTTAGGGCATTTTTGCAAGGACTAAGACTGTTTTGACTTCAACGTTTAAAGCCTAACTCTTATATTTTCACTGTCCCTTTAGGCAAAAAATAGAAACTGTAAAACAGGAAAAAGCTGCAGTTCAGAAGATGGTTGAAAATTTAAAGAAACAGGTGAGGAGATACTTGGTATTTCCCAGTGTTCTTGATTCTGAAATTTTCTTTTTTAATTTGCAATTTATAAAATTATAGGACATACTACTGGAATCACATGTAGGTAATGATGATAAAGTTGTGAATCCCGAGTTTCAGAATGGAAACTCACCCCATGCGGACTCTAAACTAGGTTTATATTTTTTTGTGAATGTAATAATGTATGTATTATTTCTAGATTCTGAGTGTTTGATACAAATTTTATAATCAGTGGGAATGGGGAGACAATACTAGCTCTAAATCCAAATCTATGAAATACTAACTCTGTCCCTCACATTCTTTTCAATTGATGTTAGCTCCTTCCTTCATCACCATGACTGAAACCAAAAAGGGAAGGACAGAATTTCACAGATATAGAGTATCAGTATATCTTTTCGTAGGATTAGAATTGATTCAGATAGCTTGTGCCATTCAAGTGCCCAATTTGTGTAGTCTCATGACATGGGGTTGTGCAGGACAAGGCCATTTAAGAATCTGCCTGAAACAGCCAAAAGACAAGGACATCCTGGGAAAAGAGAATTTTCAGTACTAGAAACAGACAGGGTCTTAACATCCAAAATATATTCTGTGCTCTCACAAATAAGGGGCAAAACCGTGTTGAAAAAACAGATAATTGGTAGGAGTGGTCAAGTAAAGGGGGAAAATACAACATATAAAAAGATAGTTAACCTTATTAGGGAAGTGCAGATAAATTCTTTTTTCATCTTTCAGGTTAGCAAAAATGAAAGATACCATCTAGTCTTTAAAAAGGGGTAAGGATATGAAGGTACTCATACATTTTCGATAGGACTATAAGTTGGTAGCACCATGAGGAAGACATTTTGGGGGTATTCAAACCAGTAATGTAGGTGCATACCTCCTAACCCAGTAGCCCCATTTTTAAGAAAATGACCCAAAATTCAAAATGCTACCCTGTGTAAATGAGTTTTTCAAAAGATTGGTTTGTTTCTTCATAATTAAAAGAATGATAACAAACTTGTATGTCAGTGTGGGAATGGATAAATACATTATGGAATGTCTCGACACAATATGCTAGAGCCACTAAAAAATATAGCTTCTGGTGGTTTCTGAATGCACTGACTTGGAAAGACAAAAGTCTGCGAACTATTACAAGTGGAAAAAGCAGGCTGCCCAAATATCTGAGATGATTCAAATTTCCTTTTGTTATAAAAAGGAGAAAACCTCCACATACATACGAGTTTTGTATGTACATAGAAAACAATCTGGAGGGATAGGTACCCAGCTGTGAACAATGGCAACCCCTGTGGAGTTAGACCAAATGGAGGGTCTATCACTTCTTCATACACTTCCCAAGTGGTGGAATCTGTAATAATGAATAACGTATTAAATTCTGTTATTAAGGATGTGTTCGTGTACGTACGTATGTATAAAACTTTGGTTTTTTTCCCCTGGGTAGATAGTCTCTAAATCTGTTTTTTAGTAGAATTAGGGCAACTAGTCTTTAAAACTTACTTCCATTTTATTTAGATTTCAGAATTAAAAACCCAAAACCAACAATTGGATTTGGAAAATACCGAACTTAGCCAAAAGAACTCTCAAAATGAGAAAGAACTGCAAGAACTTAATCAACGTCTGGCAGAAATGCTACGCCAGAAGGATAAAGAGCCAGGGCGCAGTACATTGGAGGAATGGAAACAAGAAAAGTCTAATCTGAAGGAAGAACTGGAACAGTGTAAAGTGCAGGTATGGAATGTGGCCACCCTCCAGCCTTCTGGGAGAAAATCTCAAAGCATAAAGCAATGCTTATATTCAATTTCTTACATGTAAAGTCTTAAAACAGTATAGTATCAGCAAATGAATAGAGAAGTGGAACAGAAAGTCTAGAATTAGACTCAAATACAAGTGGAAACTTACTATATAACAAATCACTGGGGTAAAGATGGATTTCATAAATAAGTGGTGCCTGGACAACTCAGTAGACGGTTGGGAACAGATAAAATTAGATCCCTATGGGTGCCTGGGTGACTCAGTCGGTTGAGTATCTGACTCTTGATTTTGGCTCAGATCATGATCTCAGGATCATGAGATTGAGCCCTGCCTTGGGCTCTGTGCTGGGTGTGGAGCCTGCTTAAGATTTTCTCTCTCTCTCTCTCTCTCTCTCTCTCTCTCTCTCTCTGCCCCTCTCCCATGTGCTCTCTTAAAAAAAAAAAAATTAGATATCTATATCTTATATAGTGCATAAAGATAAAAACTCTAATTGGATTAGGAGCCTAAATATAACAAACAAATCTACATCTGTACCAGAAGAAAACATGGGCCAATTTGTCTTTAACGTTAGTGTAGAGAAAAGCTATCTATGACCCATAAACCAGAGACCAAAAAAGAAATGATTAAACCAAAAAAGAAATGATTAAATCAAAAAAATTTGTGGCCAAAAAAAGAAAAAAAAATGCTACAGACAAAGTCAAGACATTTCACAAACTGGGGAAAAATATTTATATCCTATACCACAGAAAGTAGGGCTAATGAATAAATCACAAAAAAAAGAGATAAAAATGGCCCTCGAGCCCATGAAAAAACTCAAAATCATAATCAGAAAAATGGAAGTAAAAACAATACTGACAGCATCTTTTCTCACCCATGACTTTTTGTTGGCAAGACTTTGGGGGAAAGCAGGCACTTTTATATGTTGCTGGGAGTGTAAACTGATATTAGCCTTCTGGAAGGAAATATGCTAATACTTAACAAAATTACATATGAGCTTACCATTTGTCCCACCAAGCCCATTTCTAGGGATTTACCCTAAAGGTACACCTCCAGCAACATGAATACTCATATGCACATATACTCAATGTAGCATCGTTTGTAATTGCAAAATATTAGAGACCATCTAGACGTTCATATATAGGAGAGTGCCTGGATAAACGTGGTGGGTACAGTCACACCTTGGGGTAGTACTGTGTAACCATAAAAAAAGAGAAAGAGAGGAAAAAAAGAAAGGGAAGGAAGGAAGAGAGGAAGGGAAAGTTGTCTACCAATGTGAAATTATTTCCAGGACACACTGTTATGTGAAAAAGAGAAGCACAAAAGAGTATAGGATGACTCTGTCCATGGAAGAAATAAAGGGATGTTCTAAAATACACATGCTCATATCCTCACTCATTTGTGTGAGAAATATACAAAAATGATAAACCAGAAACTAAAGAGATGATTACCATAGAAGGTGGGTGGGAAAGGGATGGGAGAGAAGAATGGGAAGGTTGTAGAAGGGATGAGGGAAGGGAGTACCACTTCCCTGAGTAGATCTTTTCCCATGGCTCTGACTCTTAAAAGCATAGCTCTTCACATACCCCCAGATAAACACCCAATCGAAACCAATCAAGATGGTGAGGAATACCAACCTGGAACACAAACACTAAGAAATGAACCTAACTATATTGTAAATGGATAACGTAATTACGATGGGGAAGAAAAGAATTAAGTAAACTGGAAATGATTTTGACTCTATACTGTAGGGCTAAAGAAAAAAAGAAGTGTACGCAAACACTAAAATACTCCAGCCAGTGAATGTGTTTCTCGTGGGGGATAAGTCAGTAATTCTGAAACCACTTTGTGTATATTGGAATTGAGCAAATAAGTAAATAGATTATAGGCAACAGACCTGAGGTTCTCACTGTTGGAGAAGGAAGCTGCAAGGAGGAAATGGGGGAAGGCTAAACTGAACCCTCTGGTGTTGGACTGGAATTTGAGGCATTAGTATAAACTCAGGTTTCTTAATATATATATATATATATAGATTGATTGATACAGAGATCTAGATGTGTGTATATGGATGGAGTGCCCAGATCTTGTTTCTAAATACCATTTTCTTTTAAAAGAAGCCAGGGCTCCTTGGAAAAACGATTGATTCTAGGGCTAGGGCAGGGAAAATACAAGATGAAAGAAAAAAGTGCTAAAAATAAATAAAATAAAGTAAAATAAAATAGATGGGGTGTGTATCGAGAGGACACAGAACCCCACTTGAAGAGCTCCTCATGGCCAAAGCTGGAATAGTTTGACCAACAAAATAATCATAGTAAAGGATAAAATAAATACAGAATAAAATAAATAGGTATGGATACAAACCGATATTAAAAATTGACTAAATGGGGGAGAATTAACACCTCTCCCTTAAAGCAGAATTCTGATAAATAAATGTAGAAAGAAAGAAGAAAACAGAAAGTTATCATTAGGCAAACATGAGAGTAGTAACTGTTGTAGACAAAATCCGATAGAAACTAAAATTAATAAACAAGTTTAAGGAGAAACACAGTTCTCATCGTCTCAACCTGTCTCCCCCAAGAGAAATAACTTTGCGGTGGAGAGACTTGAAAAAACTACCTGAGAAATCATGTTCATGACGTTGAGGTGGACAGTCTTTCAAGAGATAATTTCAGGGGGCACCTGGGTAGCGCCCAACTCTTGGTTTGAGCTCAGGTCGTGATCTCAAGGTTCATGGATTTGAGCCCGGGGTCGGGCTCTGCACTGACATTGCAGAGCCAGCCTGGGATTCTCTCTCTCTCCCTCTCTCTCTGCCCCTACCCCACTCATGCGCGCGCGCTCTCTCTCTCTCTCTCTCAAAGTAAGTAAAAATAAACTTAAAAAAAAATAGTTTTGGTTCATTCCACTGAGTATAATGGTCATAAAAGAGTGTGTCGTTGAATTGGGGGCTCGAGTTTTTTTAATGCTGCCTTGTGTGAATCCAGTAAGTTTCCCTAGGCTAAATGAGTATGTCCGCTCTTTGATTTTTTAATTTTTCTTCTTAGTCCTCCACTTTAGTGTCTTCTCTGGAGGCAGAACTGTCTGAAGTGAAAATACAGACTCATATTGTGGAACAGGAGAACCTCCTTCTCAAAGATGAACTGGAGAAAATGAAACAAGTAAGACTGCATGCTGCTGGGAGTGGGTGCAGTGGAGAGGCTCACAGTACATCGTGAACCTGATGGTCTGGCGCTGCCAGCCACCAGACATCCTTAATACACTGTCCTGTCAACTAGCTCAATGCTTCGTAAAAGCTGAGGGTTTGCAGTACAAGTCCACGTATAAGGGCTCCTATCCCTAATCCTCTACATGCTGTTTGAGGTGTGTAACTGACATGTTGTAGACTAAAATTCTATAAATCAGTCACAGCCGCTTCAGTTTAAGAAATTTGTCGCTCTGCTTTCCTCTAGCCGGGTGACAAAGTAATAATAAGTTTGTCTAAAATGAAAGTGACTTTCTTGCTCATAACTTTAATAACTACTCATCCAGACTGGTGTGACACACACAAAAAGGTACCTCTTTCTCTTTTTTCTTATGGCAAGTATGTGGCATCTATCTTGGGCTAAGGAGCAAATTCTAGAACATTAGCAGGGATGCAGTCTCACTTATGAATTTGGTTTTAAGAAGCCTATGTCAAAGTTTCAAACAAAGACTTAATTTTAAGTATAAAAGAGGGTTCACCTTAAAGGTATATCCTGAGCATTGTCCTATTTTATTCTTAATTCTGCACTTTTCAGTGAGTACAGGATTTGAGCAATCCTAATTTATAAATAGGAGAATTTAGTTCTGTTTTTTAAAATTGCTTCACTTAAGGTTTACTTCGATATTAGGACATCCTTAGATTATCAGATTCTCTCTTTTGTATCTGTTCAGCCTGTGAGCACAAAGGTGTCCTCTGAATGCTGAAATACTGAGTCTCTAGCACTGAGTTTATGTTTGTGTTGATCTCTAGTTGACTCCTGCAAGTCTTGACTTCCTAATAGGATTGTAAGCCTTCCGGGGAATTTGTGCCTCTCCTAATGCCTAGTACTGGTACCTGAGAGGAGTTCTGTAAGTCAGATGCTGTTCTGCAGAGCAGATCTGTTCTGCCGTAACAGAAGCTGTCTGCCTTTATAAACATTCCAAAAGTTGAAGCTCACAGGGCCTTTCTATGGTGCCTAAGTTTTCCAATGCTGTTATTACCAAGTTCATCCTAATTACCGTGGGCATACTTTTCTCCTTTACCTTTTGAAAATCTGTTGTTCGGTCTTTAAGATGATAATGATGGGCTCCAAATCCATAGCATGGGAAATGCATGTTTTGTGACTTCGCTAAGCTAGAGATCAGAAGAAAAGGAGTGGATCTGGGAGTAAGATAGCATGGTGAAGACATCATTTGGCATGTTTTTATTGTGTAGGTTTTACAGAGGCGGTGGGATAAACAGTGAAGTGGAAAAATGGTGAGCTTTGTCTGCCTTGGGTAGAAAGTTGTTTCACGGCATCTGGGCTCTTTTGGATCATGACAGTAGAATAGTATCAGCCCATTGTTGCTGCCATACAGCATGGACCTAGGAAGTATGTGCTGCTCTGTAGGACATCATACAAGTAAAATCACTTTGTGAGTGAGAAATTATCTGTTGCACAGCAAAGAAACACAAGTAGCATCAGCAGAAGCCACATGCCAGCCTGCACACCCGAAATGGTACCAGGCTTTGTGAGGTTCTGGGGATGAGGAAGCAAGGTAGAGAGCAAAGGAGAAAGATCCTTTAGTAAACCAGTGTCTCGGTACTTTAAAATACATTGTCCTATGTCCTTCTGACTTTAGATTTGTAAGGTGTGCTGTATTTGTTCTCAGTTGAAGACAAGATTCAACCCTTAAAGTCTATTTTGTCATATTATTCTAAAGCTAAATGTGTGAAAGAACTTAAGGTATAAAGTAGAGAGATGGCCACAAATCTTAATGAAGAACTGAAAATATGGAAGTCAAATGAAACAGAGGGAAATTAAAAATACATGGACTATGGGAAAGGGTAAAGACGTGTAAGAAACAATCGGTCTCTTTGAAGCAGTCATTGGGGGGAGGTAGGAATCACTCCCATACCCTGGGACATTTAGCAATATCTAGGGCCATTTTTGTTTTTCACAACTGGTATGTGGAGAGAGGGGTGCTATGGGCATCTAAAAGCCAGAGATGCTGCTAACCATCCTCCAGTACACAGAAAGGCCCCCCAAAATGTCAGTCCTAGTAAGGCTGATACTGAAATGGAACGGAAACAGCCTTTGGTTTGCCTTGATTCCAGTGGAGAGGAGGAAGCCAATGTGTCCGCATTAACATTTTACTGAGCCAGGCAATTTTGGCCTCTTCCAAAGGGAAGGACCCATGAAACAAAGTGAAAAACACTGATTGTTTTAGCTTTAAACTTGTCTTTGTGTTGATACACAGTCCTTGGTTCATGCCAATTCTATACTCTTGACTGAGATTGCTGAAAAAGATTTTTTTCTAGTTAAAAAAAAGCATGAGGAAAATGTATGGTGCTATGTATGTACACATGTTAAATTGATGACAGAATGGCAGTATGTCACTTATTTTCCCCTGAAGGTGCAACGGAAGCTAGGACCGATACGTAACAGTATCTGTCTGCTTGAATCTATCTGAGCAGACATTTTGGCAGTCAGTTGGAGAATGGAGAGAATCGAGTAGGGAACATTTTGTTAAATTTAATTATAGTTCCTTAGAGTTTATATGTCCTCTGAAATATCTATGTAGATAGGGAAATAGCAGCAGCCATGAAAACGCCCTGTTTATAAATACCTCTTTATAAATACAGCCATGAGACACGATGGGATTGTTGATCTCTTACAGCTGCACAGATGTCCTGATCTTGGTGACTTCCAGCAAAAACTTGCTAGTGTTCTCAGCTACAATGAAAAACTGCTGGAAGAAAAGGAGGCTCTCAGTGAAGAACTAAAGAGCTGTGTGGATAAGGTAGGAAACAGAAGACTTTTTACCATGACCATACAGTGTATAACCATAGTGAGCATTTCTCTATGTCCAGTGGCACTCAGCAGTCCCGTTTTAGCCTGATCGTTCCACCGTCTCCTGGAATAGCATTTCAGCAGGCCTTATGTGCCCTCTGAATTTCTGAGGTCAGGATTTTAACAGGAGGCTAAATTTGTTTAATAATGATATTATTAAATATAGTAATATACAGTTTGCCTCATTTTAATATAGAGCCATGCTACTTAATATATAAATAAGTATTGTCGCATTTAATACTCTGAGATCTATTACATAGACACACGCTTTTTTTTCTATCATATTTTCCCTAGCAAATCCCACAACACTGCTTTCGCCCCACCTGCCTTAGTAGGCATTCCATGTTTTCCTATTATGGTACACTCTTGAGAGTTCTAATTGCCTCCCTGCCTACCGCTTCTCACCCACAATGAGGCAATGAGAGAGAAAAATGGAAACCACCAAAGAAAACAGACTCTTCGAAATTAAAGGTAGAAAAGGGAGTCAGGAAAATGTCTGTGTTTTACTTTGCCCTGCTCCCACATGGCGCTTATCTTTTCAGCCTCTGTGGAGATGCATAAATTGAGGCTAGATATTTGCAAACATGCCTACTGTCTCTTTTCTTTTCCTGAAACAGTTGGCAAAATCAAGTCTTTTAGAGCACAGAATTGCCACTATGAAGCAAGAACAGAAATCTTGGGAACACCAGAGGGAAACCTTAAAGTCGCAACTAGAGGCTTCACAGGAAAAGGTATGTGGCCAACTGTTGTTTCACCTGTACAGTTAATATTTTCCTGTGTATTCCAACAGAATTCCTAGTAGGAAGAATATTCCAGATAGAATTGGCCTAAGAGGGTTCATAATGATTCAATTTGATTAATACTTGTCATATGCTTATAGTGTGAGGAAACTTGAACAGTTCCCTCAGAGTTCATTATTATGAGATTACCTCATCATTATGAGATTACTTATAAAAGCTTAAGAATACTGTGTAGAAATGACTGCTTGTTTCTGATTTAGAAAAAGGATTTCTAAGGCACGTTCATGCCCTGTTATGATACCTATCAACATTGCTTTTACAAATTTAGATTATTTTTAACTAGATAGATACTGGGGCACCTGGATGGCTCATTCGGTTAAGCATCCAACTCTTGATTTTAGCTCAAGTTGTGGCCTCATGGTTCATGGGATTGAGCTAGCTTCTGTCATGCCAGCTGGTACTCACTGGTTCTGTAAGATATCACTTGGTCATATACCAGATGACTGTGTTAGCGACACCTTGCTCCAGGACATAGCTCATCATTGCTCTAAATATAACATCCTGTAAATATACATAATAACTGGGGTCTCCACGAGGCTACTAAAAAGAGCTGGATATAGTAAATATAAGGGACCTTGGAATTCTCTTATCTTAGCTCATTCATTCCTGGACAGGCTGTAGGTGAGACCGTGAGGATCTGCATCACAGTGTAAGATTTTTCTCATGATGCAGGTTCAGAGTTTAGAAGACACCCTACAGAATGTGAACCTGCAAATGTCCCTGATTAAATCTGACCTACGAGTGACTCAGCAGGAAAAGGAGGCTTTGAAACAAGAAGTGACGTCTTTATATAAACAACTTCAGAATGCTGGTGACAAGGTAATTTCTTTTTTATTGAGGTATAACTTTATACAGTTAAGTGCACAGATTTTAAGTCTGTAACTTGAATATTTTTATGGATGTGTGTGTTTACATAAATATATGGTTGATCCCTGAACGACACAGGGGTTAGGAGCCCCGGCCCCCTGTACGGTCAGACATCCACCTAAAACTTCTGACTCCTCCAAAACTTAATTACTAATAGTTAGGCCTACTGTTTACTGGAGGCCTTACCAATAATATAAACAATTAACACATATTTTAGGTATTATGTATATTATATACTGTATCCTTATAATAAAGCTAGAGAAAATACAATACTGTCTCAAAAAAAAAAAATCTCCACATAAGTGGATTCGTGCAGTTCAAACCTATGTTGTTCACATGTATATTTTCCATACCTATGTATGTGCATAAATTTATATTTGTGTAAACACCTCCTATCTCAAAATATAGAATATTGCCAGCACCCAGCAGGCTCTCATGTCTCCCCTCCAGTCGATAACCACAAGGGAACCACTTTTTGACCCTCTGCCACCATAGGTTAGGGATGCCTTTTTCTGAACTTCATATAAATGGAAGCATAGTGACAAGGTTACGTTTTGTGTTGCGCAGGTCAGGAGACCATGCTGAGTTATTTTGCGGTAACAAAAACACTCTTGATGTTATATAAAGTGTATCTCATTTTAATATATCAAAATGCTATTTTGTGTGCTTATATAAATTAGAAATGGTATTCTAGATGTCAGCCTTGTGGAGATATTAAGATTTTGTCCTACCATAAAAGTAGGACAGTTATTTTAATCCAGTTATATCTCGGTGATACTTTTTATTTTACACACACACACACACACACACACACACACACACATTTTTAAGCAGGCTCCACGCCCAACATGGGGCTCAACTCATGACCCTAAGACCAAGAGTCTCACACTCTACCTACTGAGCCAGCCAGGAACCTCCTCTTTATTTTTTTTTAAAAAGAAAAATAGTTCTTTCCATTTTAAAAAATTATTTCTGGGCTGACATTTTTCTCAAAATGAGATTGTAACTTTTTCTTTTTCATGGTTTAGGTTAAAACACAAAAGGCTTACCTACTTGTTACCTTTTTTAAAGCATTTTCCAGAATCCAAAAAATCACTTTGGTAGCATAAAGCATATTCCTGAGTTCAGGGCTCAATTATATGGACAGTATGTGCTTTGGATTCTAAAAAAGGATATGATTGCATATGGGAAAAATGAAAGAGTTTAGCTTGTGAAAGCTTTCAAGTTAGCAGTGCATCTTGAAGTTCCCTCTGTGTTCTGTTAACCAAAAGAATAGTGATCTGGGTTCAAAGCATTAACTTGATAAGTATGAAGCAATTTTTAAGGCCACCAATCTCTACGCACTTGGGTTCTATATAGAATCGACTTGCCCTACAGTCATCTTTGCTGTTAGACTTGATGGGACTATTTTGCCGAAGATCATTTTAAACAAAGAAGTTTCCAAACCTTTTTTTAAGTCACACCCCCCAAATACGGTATGTATGTGTGTATATAGACACATACACACACACACACACACAACATACACTCACCCCCATTAGAAGATATGAAGAATGAAAGGTACTTCCTAAGAATTATTGTCATTGAGTAAATATACTCAAAACAGAAATCAGCTTGTTTTTAAGGCTTAACTCTTCAATTTGCTCTTAAGAACTGGGCCCCAGAAATAGCCACCTTCCATAACCAGCAGCAAAGGCCTCCTTGGGACCAGATGGATCATCTGATGAAGGAGGAACAACAGCTGCTTTGGCAAGAGAACGAGAGACTCCAAACTGTGGTGCGGAATACCAAAGCGGAACTCACGCACTCACGGGACAAGGTAACGAAAAGCGGCACATGGTGACATGTTTGAAAATAGTGTGGTATAAAAATGAATGTTTGATAGGACTGAAATGGGTCTAGGGTATGGATTTGAGTATTCTGCTATGGCAGACTTACTTTAAGAATGCGTAATTTATCATTTACTTGCAAATAATTTTATCCTGATATGTTTATAAAATATTTTGTTTCATTTTGTGTAATCAGTTCTACACTAAAATCAATGATTTTAATCTTGACTTTCAATACAGACTCATGAGAATTATGGTAACTATGTATTCTTCATTTAAATAGACTAGCTGTCAAGACTGATAGTACAAAGTGGCAAAATTGGACTCCATCTTTTTGGGCTAACTCCTTGTAAGAGAAAAAGTACCCCTTTTTAAAGATTCAGCCTTTTAAGGTTAGAATGGTCTCTGAAGATGATCTTTTCCAACCACTAAACTGATGTTTATATATAGTCTTTACTTTTGCTAAGTAGTTGACCAACTATGCTTAACCTATGCTTAAACATTTCTCTTTTTTTTTTTAATTTTTTTTTTTAACATTTATTTATTTTTGAGACAGAGAGAGAGAGCATGAACAGGGGAGGGTCAGAAAAAGAGGGAGATGCAGGATCTGAAACAGGCTCCAGGCTCTGAGCTGTCAGCACAGAGCCCGACCCGGGGCTCGAACCCACGGACCGCGAGATCATGACCTGAGCCGAAGTCAGACGCTTAACCGACTGAGCCACCAGGCGCCCCTAAACATTTCTCTTAAGGAAGAACTCTCTGAAGAGCCACAGATAGCGATTTAGAACACCTACTCTGTGCCAGAAACTCTGCTATTGCTAAAGTTATAGCGTTGAACAAGACAGACCTGGTCGCTGTCCTCATGGAACTTGTTGGTGTGGATACATGGTTTCAGGTGTGGACAGTCCAATATAAAATTGATGGGACTGTCACCTCACTGACTCCTAAAAGCCATGCTCATGTCAGAGAGCAAGTGCCTAGGATTATGTCTGTTTTCCTGATAGCCACGTCACCCTGTGGACGCCCAGTGATTTGGTAGATCCAGACGTCCTCTATTCTCTGGTCTTTACAGTGTTGGGTTTTTAGACCCAACCAGACTAAAAACAGATTTACCCAGAAGGATCTTTTGCAATCCAAAAAAAGCAGACTTCAAGAATTGGCAGACTTGGGGCGCCTGAGTGGCTCAGTTGGTTAAATGTCCAACTTTGGCTCAGGTCATGATCTCGCAGTTTGTGAGTTCGAGCCCCGTGTCGGGCTCTGTGCTGACAGCTCGGAGCCTGGAGCCTGCTTGAGATTCTGTGTCTCCCTCTCTCTGCCCCCCGCCCCTCACTCTCTCAAATATAAAGAAACATTAACAAAAGTAAAAAAAAATTGGCAGACTTGACTGGGAAAAAAAAAGTGTTTTTAATACAACAGAACCCAAGTACTGAATAAAAACTTTCCTTATGTTCTTTTTTTGTTTTTCTTCCTCACTGGATGACTATCTTAACATTTCTTCCTCTTACATATGTTGTTATTAGGTCCGTCAACTGGAATCAAACCTTCTTCCCCCTAAGCACCAAAAACATCTAAACTCATCAGGTACGGTGAGGCCTACAGAGCAAGAGAAGTTGAGCTTAAAGAGAGAGTGTGAACAGTTTCAAAAGGAACGATCACCTACTAATAGGAAGGTGAGTTTTGAGAGTTTATATGTGTCAACGTCCTTACTGTGATGTGTCCCTAAGTGTATGTTTCTTTCCCTGCATGCTTCCAAGGAAGTGATCACAATGGTATATTTTGGTTCTTCCTTATATGTATGTTTTTGTAATCTGGTCAAATAGTATTATAGTTCTTTATGATTGAGTGGTGGTTGCAAAGGAGCAGTTAACTTTAAGCATTCATAATGAAGATGGTTAATCATCTTTAGCAGTATTACAGCCCTTTTAATTTTTTTCTAGTATTTATTTACCTTTGAGAGACAGAGACCGAGCACACATGGCGAAGGGGCAGAGAGGGAGACATAGAACCCAAAGCAGGCTCCAGGCTCTGAGCTGTCAGCACAGAGCCCAATGTGTGTCAGCACAGAACCCATGAACCGCGAGATCATAACCTGAGCCATAGTCAGACGCTCAACCAACTGAGTGCCCCACAGCCCTTTTAAGTTAGCAAAATAGATATACCTTAAAATATATATATCCTGAATATCAGGAACATCTTCATATGGTCTGTGTTAGTTATCTATTGCTGTGCAACAAATTAAAAGAACAAACATTTGTTGTCTCCTTTTCTGTGGGCCGGGAATTCAGAAGCAGCTTAGCTGAGTGGTTCTGGCTCAGGGTCTCTCATGAGGTTGTGGTCCAGCTATCAGCTGGGACTACATTTATCTGAAGGCTTCACTGGTACTAGAAGAGCCACGTCCAAGTTCAGTAATATTACAGGAAGAGGCTCTGTTTCTTGCTGGCTGATTACCAGAGGCCTCAGGTCCTCACCACCGGGGCCTTTTCTCAGGACATGGCAGTGAGTGAGAGGAGAGAGAGAGAGAGAAAAATTCCAAAAGATCACTATAAAAAGCTGTAGTGCCTTTTATAAGCTAATCCTTGGAAGGGACACACCATCATTTCTGCTGTCTTCAGTTGGTCACACAGACCAAGGGTGTAAACACCATGGGTGGACATCAGTAGGGACCATGTTGGAGGGGGGCTACCATGTGGTTAAGTCTCTGGAGCAACTTTTGCTTTCTGTACTTGGTTCCCTGAAGTAAGAGATCTAAGACCAGTGCTACCCTGGGAGGAGTTCTTGTCCCTTGTTTTTCTTTCTTCCTTCTTCCCAACCAAAACTCAGAGTGGTCACTGTTACCTTTCTCTTCTGAAAATTATGGTTTGTGTAAAAATCTGGGAAGAATGATGAACAACCATTTGTTTCTGTCACAAAAATGTTATGAAAATTTTAAGTTTGTGAAAGTTATGACCATAGGTGGTAAGAAGACTGGTTTGTGCTCTAAAGCCAAAATGCCATTTAATTTTAGGTACATTCAAGTACATTTTTCAGAAAGATAAAGGGTTTCATCCAGCTGCTCACTGAGAGAAAAGTCTAAGGATAGGTTTTAACTTGAAAAGATTACTCTTCTGTTCAAAAATTCTTGCTACTCTCCTCAGCTCATTTTGATAGAAACCAAAATCAGCCTTCTATAGAAGTGTCCTGTATTTCTACTTAGCAATATTCCGAATTCCTGGGTCAGGTAGCTCATTAGATTCTTCCTGCAATGGAGAATTCCAAAAATGGATACTCATAAAATCTTCAAATTTAGTCTTTAAAATTGAGAAAGGAGTTATATAAAGCAGGTTTTATGTACTCTGTTTTAAACCCGACTTAAACTTTGCCTTAAGACAGTGTTTTTCCCCACCGATCCATCGTGGAGGATCATGAAAGTGATGTAGTGAAAACTTCTACCTTTTTTATTAATAAAATGTGCTGGAAAATATCAGAGTACATGGTTCATGGTAAGGATAAGTATTTCATGAAATTTTCTTTCAGTGATATGTACTTATAACTGATGATGCGTATATATGTACTTATGGGTGTGAGTTTATGTCCTGGGTGTGTTTCTTACAGTGAGTGACACTACAGTTTGCAAGCCAGGTGCCTCATGGAATCTGCTCTATGTAAGCAGTGATGATCAAAAAGTAGACTAAATATAATTGATGCACTGAATCATAGTGCTGTTCTCCTTTGCTGAATGATCTTTGCTTTCTTCCAAGGGGTGTGATTTCTGACTAGCATGAATTTGTCAAAATAAAGAAGAGCAACTCAAGTGTTTGTTTGTAAAGGAAATTTTTTTTGTTGTTTTTTTGTTTTTTTGTTGTTTTTATTTTTAGCAGGTCAGTCAGATGAATTCCCTTGAAAGAGAGTTAGAAACAATTCATTTGGAAAATGAAGGCCTGAAAAAGAAACAAGTAAAACTGGATGAGCAGCTAATGGAGGTGAGTTTTTAAGCAAAGGGCCTCAGCTCTGAAGAATATTTTAATCCACGAATGTGCCGTTTGTTGAGAGAGAGCAGCGTAGCATGAATTCCTATTACAAGAAAAACTGGAAAAGTATGCTGCCAAGCTGAATTCTTTGGTCTGTCTTACCAAGTTTGATAGACATTTTTGCTCATTACAGTCACCGGAATTTACACTGCTTCACAGAGGAAGGAACAATGTGGGTAATCCTAAAATGCAAGGACCCATACCTCAACAAATTCAGGGGGCGGGGACTCTGATACTGGCCCAGAGCTCCCCACCACTGCTGTGATTGTAACGGTTTCCCGATACCTCCCGTGTCATACGTAGTGTTTTATAGATGGATTGCTAACAGCCTCTTGGGTTAGGAATTTGGGAATATCAGCATGTAGAAGTTTAATGTTCAGGTGCTGTCATGGTTTATTACAAATTTGTAATTCAGCACTGCCTCGGGAGAGGTACATCTGTTAAATATAAAAATGGAGTTGTAAAACTTGTCAGCTCGGACATTGAGTATCCAGTCTACCAGATTGCTTTCTGATTACTAAGTACAATTACAGGATGTAAGACAACATCCGTACAGATCCTCTATAGTAAGTAAAAACTTCACAGAGATATTTTGCTTTGGGTAGCTGAAAATATCACGTAGTGTACTACAAAATTTATCTCAGGTAGAGAGGCATGGGTAAAAAATGTCTTTGTGCTCTTAAAAACTACTACGAGTACAAATATCTTAAAAACAGATATTTTTTTTTGGATTTTAGGATTTTGGATTTTAGGATGAGAGAGATTTAAATATTTTCTTTTAAGAAATTGGACATGCCAAGGTAATTTTAAATGGATGATTTTTACGAAATCTGACGAAATATGGGCAAATACGTCACACTGACATTTAAATGACCACTGAGGTTTCTGCCAATCTTATGTTCTCTGATTTATCCACTAATAGGGAGATTAAACTATAAATAGCATATAATAAGTGTGTTCAAAAGCCCAAGCTACAGGCTATGTTTAGATACAGACATGCTTTCTGATGAAATAATTATATATTGTGAGGAGTAAGATAGCTGAAGCTAAGCCCCACCTCTCTAGTACCAAATTGATAAGTAACAGGGTATATACTTAGGCAGTGGCAGATCCTCTCCGAATGTTCTGCTAACAGGCCAATTCTTCTCCCACCTGCTCGAGCCGTCCTCAGAAACCCCCATCTCTTCCTAACCCCCCTTGATATGATTAGCCATCATAAGCAATTTCCCTTCATTATTTTTCAGAATTTTTAAGATCAAGGAATTTAAGGAAAGCTTTCTAATCTGATGTAGGCACTCCCTTGAGGGAAGGCATCTCTCCTCATCTTTCTATGCCAGTTTAAAAGTCGCTGATGTAATACAATACATATCCATGCTCCAGGGCATGCTCCCACATCACTAGACTAGGAAATAGAAGAATCTGAGTCACAATCTGGGGCTCTTTGAACTGCATGAGGCGGTGTTCTATAAACAGTTCATTTTGAACATTCAAAAAAGGGGTTCCAGTCCATATCAGCACTTCTCAAGTCCACTGGGTACCTCCGGTAGCCAACAGTTTTCAAACACTCAAACGAGAAAATTGCCATTTGGAGATGCAGAATATAAACTGTAAAACCAAGTATTTAACATCAGATCCACCCATGCTGGACCTGGAATCTTCTAAATAATTGTAGTGGGGTAGGTGGAGGAAAAGGTGGTAAGTTCCCAAACTCACATTGCAGTTGCAGGATCAGAGTCATAAGATATTTTAAAGTTTATACACGGAGAAATGTAAATGTTGGTGTTTTTGTAAGTTCTTTCTGACTTGAGCACACCTATTCAGGTATATAATATACCCAGTTTTAACTGTTCTCTTTTTGTAACTCATACTTTTCTTCCTCTCTTTATGACTCCTGTAATTTTCTTTTGTTTTTGTTTTGTCTGTGGCTAACCTGTACCTAGAACTCTGTGGTTGGAACTAGCAGAGAAGGGTGCAGTTCTCTGCCTGAGATAGTGTGTGAAGGTAGAACATTCTCTTTCAATCAATTTCATAGCATGGAGACCTCTCATTAGACTCCCTGTTCATGTAATCATTTCTACTGACTGTAACAGTTAATACATATTTAGGTAAGAGCCAGTATTCATTTTCAGTTTGCTTTAACCGTGGCATATGTCTGTTTACATTTAGGCCAGGATTTTCCTCAGTATGTAAAGATACATGTGAAGAAACTCATCCTGCTGATAGAAAATTATGGGATCGTAACTCTCCCTATTCTTTATTCCTGAAAATAAAATGGTGGGTTTTCTAAATCTGTAACTAGAAATATTTCAAAACGGGTAATCTCCCACCTCAGAACTTTAGCTTGAAGGAAATGGATAGTGGCTCTGAAGTTTCATGGTAAATGTTTAGTTATAGTCGTGTCTTAGAGGGCCTATTTCCCCTCTCAGAAGCCTTGAGGTGCTTCTTCTTGAGTTTGGTACTTGGTCGTCTTCATTGCATGCCTTCTGTTGAGTCCTCAGTCCGCTGAATGTATTGACAGATGTGGAGTGCCATGCTTCACTGGCCACATGCAGCGTGCATTCTCCTTCCTTTTCCTCTCCCCAACTTCGGCATGTGATACACACATCGTCTTACGGTCTTGAACAAGTATTTCTGTATCACCCTCTGTCCCCGAATGGCTTATCTTACAGTGCCATTTAAGAGTTGAACATTGACAGAATAGGTTAAAATAATTTTGGATAGGAGTTTCTTTGACTCAGTTGCTAACCTGGAAAATAGTCATTGAACATTTGCTTTTAGGAGTCTTTATGAATGGTAAGTAAAGTGGCAAAACCCTAAAGCTGAACCACTTTCTCCCCTTTGCTTACCCCAACTTGTGTCTTTATTTTTATTTTTTAATGCTTTTATTTTTGAGACAGAGAGAGAACATGAGCAGCGCAGAGAGGGAGACACGGAATCCAAAGCAGGCTCCAGGCTCTGAGCTGTCAGCACAGAGCCTGACGTGGGGCTCAAACTCATGGACTGTGAGATCATGACCTGAGCCGAAGTCGGATGCTTAACCGACTGAGCCACCCAGGTGCCCCGCTGTTTTCTTAAACAGGCATAATTAAAAGTTCTAGTGCCAGAAACAATGAAGTAGAATTCAGACACATGACTTATATCATGTAGCTCCATCATGAGTGAGGAAGTACATCTTTTAAGTCTAAAACTTTTAAGAAATCCTACTTCTTAACTATATTGTCTCCTAAGGAAAATGACCCTTCCCATTATTCACTTCTTACTCAAGTCACGTACTGTCCTGTGTTCAAGTGATCAGTGGTCTGAGAGGCCATTAATGAATTCATCAGCTTCGTTCCCTCTGCTTGACATTTGCAAGGGCAGCTCTGTGCTTGAAGGCACTGCGGCTGACCAGGGCTCCGCCTCTGTCCTCCAGATGCAGCACCTGAGGTCCACTGTGATGCTTAGCCCATCCCCTCCCACGTGGGATCTCCAGCTGCGCCAGCAGCAAGCCTGTCCGACGGTGCCCAGGGAGCAGTTTCTGCAGCTTCAACAGCAGCTGCTGCAGGCAGAAAGGATAAACCAGTGCCTGCAGGAGGAACTTGAAAACAGGACCTCCGAAACCAACACGCCGCAGGTACGAGGCTGTTTTCCCTCACAGTAAACTCAGATCACCTAATTTGACCAGTTTATTGGGAAGTTCTACCCATTCAGAGGTGGAGATTAAGAACTTATGTGTCTGTTGAAGAGTCCCACCTTACCTGTGTTTACAGGCCCACGGAACTGCAGTGTTGTTTGGGTTTGGTTTTTTGCAGTGATGCTTTTGAGCTCTCAGCTTCTAAGCTGGGTGCTGAAGTGTTCTGGGTCTCCTTTGCACATTCGTAATCCATGACGAAGGATCAGGATCACTTAGGCACAGTGTACAGCTGACCTAACAGTTTTTGACTTGACATTTGTCCGATGCCAGAAATATTACAGAATTCAAGTGCACCTCTAGGATACGCAGTACTAACACAGCCCCCTAGGTTTTCCTGTCCCTGAGGGGTACAACCTGCTGAATTCCATAGAATTCACAAGTGGGGACTTTGTGGAGTCAGTGACATAAAGGAAAAATGTCAACTATGTTTTTTAAAATGATCTAGTTTCAAAAACTCTTTCAGAAAATCAACATCTTTTTCCCCTTCCCTTTGAGTTAGAATCATCCTAGCTTCTTACAGACACAATCTGATACAAGCTGGGTTTTCAAATAGTTCTCTTAAGTGCTTCATTCATAGTCCAGCTTTGCTTGTCGATTTTGTTTATTCAGAACCAATAAAATTAAAATTACTCCTTCATTTGTATAATTTTAAATGAATCCTTTCTGGTTTGGATGCTCATCTTCTGTCTCTCAGTGGACATTTAATAAGGAATTTCCCCAACTCCTTTTCCCTAATTGTCTCAAAGTGGCTTTGCAAAGTCAAATTAGCACTACAATTACACAGTGGAGCAGTTCTGTCTTCCTCTTCTCGTAGTATATATCTATGGTTTGTCATTATATCCTCTGTCATCTGCCCTTTCAAACAAAAGGTTACAATTAGTTTTGTCTTTTGTGCTTTAAAAATCCACGTTTTTGGAAGCTTCCTCTATTCCACGTCAGTTTCCAAATATTAAAATTGTGTAGATGGGCTGTCGAAGATACTTCAGTAATTCATTACAGAATTGAGTTATAAAACCTTGACCTCAGTTTTTAACAGACATTGTATCCATTGCTTTCTCATTCACCCTGTTTTCAAAACATGTTCTTCCGACTCACCTGCCCATGTTTAAAAATAAAAAAATATCCTTTTACTCCAATTACTTCAGGATAAGATTAAAAAAAACCTTAGCACAGTTTTTGCCTAATTTTTTTCTAATGTTTATTTTTGAGAGAGAGAGAGTATGAGCAGGGGAGGTACAGAGACAGAGGGAGACATAGACTCTGAAGCAGGTTCCAGGCTCTGAGCTGTCAGCACAGAGCCTGACGTGGGGCTTGAACTCACAGATTGCAAGATCATGATCTGAGCCAAAGTCGGACTCCCAACCAACTGAGCCACCTAGGTGCTGCAAAGACTGTTGAGGTTTTTGTACTAAAAAAAAAAAAAAAAACTTTTTTCTCCAGCCAGATGGCAGAGTGGACTGCTTATTGTTGTCTCTAGAATACCACTGCAGGCTCTCCTGTTTCTGGCCCCTGAGCTGACACTAATTTTAAGATTACAGAACATTATTAGAATCTGCACGTCGCCTCTGTGTGTGATGTGGTTTCTTCTGCCTCTGTGTTGCTTTGCTTGCATTGTAGTGTTAATGTGTGTGCTTTTAAAGATCGTTTGCATTATAGATGTGTGAATTTAGACTCCTCCCCAAACATGATCCTGACATGGGGTGAAGTATACCACTTGCCTTCTTTCTCTAGGCCTTGCTACCGGAGCAGCGAGCAGTGCATGCAGATTCCTACAGAAGGATTGGGCACCTGTGAAAACTGGGCTGCTATTGATGACATTTCTTACCATGGCAGCTACTCAGATGCACACGCTACCCCCCCCCCCCACACACACACACAGAGACATAAGCTGGAAAACATTTTGGAATCAAGTGCTCTTTTAAATTATATTATTATTATTAAGCCTTTGCAGTATTAGGTCTCTTATTTATTAACGTAGAAATGACAGTTTGTGAATCAAATTCACAAATTTCAGCTTGTTACAAATCATTTTATTTATACCATTTAAAGAATGTGGACTTGAGATTCTTGAAAGGATGTATTCTATATATTTTCTCATTCCATATGCTGTAACTATTTTTAATAAGAGGTACTACTTTTATATATGGAATTGGAAGAAAATTTGGGTTATTTATACTGTTTTGTATAAGATGTATCATGCTTTTTTGACAGGAAAAAAAATTTTTGATGAAACAATAAAATAAATTTTAAATATATGACTGCCTTTGTTTTTCCTCTTTCCTCACTCTGGCCATGCTCCATGTTCTTCGAGTTATAGGTTTTGTTTTGTTTTTTAAAGCAAGTAGAAATCAGGCATCTTCCATTTACGTTTGACCTTTAAAAAGCCATTCTGTCTCTTAAAATACAGGTTTTTTTTTTTTTTAAAGCTAAATGTTCTCAAAGCTTCTTTCTTGAAATTTACTTCCTGCATTAGACTTTGACCTACTACAGTTGTCTTCAAACTAATCACATGGTTTAGTTGTTTATATCTCAATAAATGCTGTTGCTTTATCCAAACATTGGCTTCCAGTTCACGTTTGGTCATTCTCCATGCTTTTAAAAGGGGTTATACCATCAGCCATTAACACCTGAGTTTTGCTGAATGCTTGAAGAACCTTTAAAAACCTGAAATTCCTTACATGGACATTTTCGTGACCTGCGGGGAGGGCAGCTGGCTGCACTCACACTCTCTTCAAAACCCACATAACTCCTTAACCTATCACTGTTGTGTGAAGAGAAGAGAAGCCCTGGCTGTTTCTGCCCTCTCGTTTTATCTATGAGTTGTTTGTGGGGAGATTCTTAAGTTTTTTTTATGATAAACCCAGCCTCCAATCCAGATGTTTGCTTCACAATGGCAAGTCAAATTGGGAAACAGATGACAACAATAACTGGCAGGAAGAAGCCGGTTATTATAAAGAAAGGAACAGTAACACCCTCACAGTAATCAGCCATTTTACACAGGAAAAATGGACACGCAAATTGCAAGCTGACTGGAAATGCTAAGTGATCCTGAATAAACTCAGTTTTGTTTTGGTCTTGAGAGACCCACAGTATTGCCAAGGCCCAAGTCACAGATGGAAGGTTGATAACCTTATTTTTAATTTACCATTGAAAACTATTTTACTAGAAGAAGTGCACACAGGTGCTAAAATACGGGTTTTAAGAATTTTGCTTTATCTCAGGGGAAGATAGTAACACAGGTAAGATTTTTTTTTTTTAATCTTTGATTCTCTGATAGGATTACTTTTCTAATGTGCAACCCATGCAGTGTTCAGAGCCCCCATTTCATCAGAAATCCACCCCTCCCGTTACAAAGGCACATATTTACTGTCCTTTCTCTAGGCATCTTGTGGGAAAAATAAATTACTAGGGCTTTCTTTTCGGTATGGCATATTTTTCAAATGACAACACATTTTTTTCTTCCCTTCAGGGAAACCAGGAACAACTGGTAACTGTCATGGAAGAACGGATGATGGAAGTTGAACAGAAATTGAAACTGGTGAAAAGGCTTCTTCAGGATAAAGTGAATCAGCTCAAAGAACAAGTGAGCCTCCCGGGTCCTCTCCACCCACCCACCCCACATTCCACTTTTAACTCCAGTTTTACATTCCTTTATTGCCATTAACGTGTTAATTTTTGTTGTCAAATAAAGGCAAATTCTACTACAAACGTATAGCAGGACTTAGGATTCACTGTCCCCCATACCACTCCAAAAATATGAAATCTGTATTCTACATTATTTTTCCAGAGCTCTCCTAATGCCTGTTTGTCCACAATTTTAAAAATGTACATTTGCTAAGAGACTCATCTGGACCTATTGCATTCCTAATGAAGTTCCGTGGCTCAAATTTAACTTTTGTAGATTTTTTTTATTTGCCCAAGACAGTAAACATTCTATTTAAATAACTAGAAAATTTATGTTGGTAAAAAATGGGGAGATAATAAATGGAATTTTAGCTTTGCTGTTTGCGACGGCTATGACGACTTCTAAAAGTCTTCTGGCTATATCCAGACCCCAAAAGGCTGTGCTCTGAATTAGAATAGGGACCCTGACCTGCTGGTGGCAGGTGTGGCCTGGGTTTAGAAAGTGTTTGTGTAACCACTGAAGAGACATGCAAAAAAGGACCACTCTATAGTAAAGATTTATAGCTACTTTGGAAACTGAGATTAAGACCTGGGGAGGTGGGGGCAGAAATCGTCCCACCTGGTTTTCTAGACACATAAAACTTAAGAATAATAATACCAAGAGAAGGTCTTAATGGAGAATTAGACAGCAACTTTTCTTTTCCCAATATCTTAATCACAAAATGGAAAGAAAAGGAAGTCTTACACAATAAGCATTTATTCAACCCTGTGATCATTCACTTATTCAAAACATAGTTACTACATGCCAAGTCCTTTTCTCAGTGCTAGAGATAGGACAGTGAACAAAATCCTGCCAATGGGGAGCGTAGCTCACATACAAGGTATTAAGCATTTGGCAAGGTGGTAATTTTAAACAAAGAAAATCCGATCCACTCTATTTTCAGCAGAGGGGAACACAGGGAAGAATACTTGATCTAACTCCATGGTTTAAAGAAAGTTTCCTGAAGGCCTCTTCAAGTATTGACAGCTGAGTAAGATTTGAACAGGTGAAGAAGTGTGAGAAGGGCATTCTAGGCTACGGGAACATCATGCAGTTACAACATATGGTGTGTGGACATCTACAAATATTTTGGCATTAACAGGTCATAGTGTCCTGAGAGGAGTAGGAGAAGAAACGGGAGAAATAGGGAGGAGTGGGCAGTAGAGGGTCTTAGGATGAAGAGCCAGGAGTGTTTTGTAAACGGCAGGAAGGAAGGGAGAGAAGAAGGGATGAATGTTTCCTTAGAACAACTCAATAGAGTAGGTTAGTATGTTACACTTGCCCGTCATCTAGATTCCAGGCTTCAGGTGTTATCGTCTTTATCATTGCCCTTTGCAATGCTAATAAATTAGCCACTCTCCGTTGTTCTTTTTCCCCCTGAAACCTCTATACTTTTAGATGCCCTGGTTAAAACTGCCTGTAAAATGAGGTGTAATGAGGGAAGGGAGGGTTGGAATACATATAATAGGAACCAAAATAAAATTATCGCAAGGCCACTGGCAAGTTTTCCCATCCCTTGACTATATATTTTAACCATAAAAATTAAAGTCTATCTTCTGACAAGTTCTATGTAAAAGAGGAAGAGTTAAGGAAAAGGAGCTGCCCAGATCTTACCTCTGTATTATAATACATGAACCAAATTTTAAAATAATCAGTAGGTTATAGCTATGAATGGGAAGGAAACTCAAGCATCTGTTAAGAACAGAGTTAAAGTTCACACCCTAAACCTCAGAAGTTATGAAAGTATTTTGCTATTTTTAGAGAAAGAAAAAGCAGTAACACCTAATTTACTTCGGTGGGAAAAAAAAAAGCTTTCATTTTCTGAGCTTTCAAATATCAATCTGTTCTTTTACTAGTGGCTTCTACAAACTTTATGCAAAGAAACAGCTTGGAAAAAGTGGATGTGCTCTGTCTGTATCCCTGATGCCACGTCTGATGTTAAACCTGTATTGTTAAATAAAAGAATATAATATAAGTCATTTGCCTTTATGAACAACTGTCCTAATGTCAGACCTTAAACTTAAGACAGTTACAGAAATGGAGTCAAAATGTTTCTGGTTTCTGTTTCTAGCTGTGCAAGAATACTAAAGCAGATGCGATGGTGAAGGATTTGTATGTTGAAAATGCCCAGTTGTTGAGAGCTCTGGAAATGACTGAACAGCGACAAAAAACAGCAGAAAAGAAAAATTACCTCCTAGAAGAGAAGATTGCCAGCCTCAGTAATATAGTCAGGAATCTGGCACCAGCACCACTGACTTCTACACCTCCCTTGAGGTCATAGCCAAGCCAAAGGATACACTCATTTGTGCACTTTACTGAAATGGATGGAACATTTCAGTAGGTTCTCTCAACCTTTTTTTTTTTTTTTTTTAAACCTTTACTGGTTTAAAGTTCAGCTCAACCTAAAACTGCCAGCAACAGAACTGTACTCTCCATTCACTGTAATTAGTTTTTCTAAAGAGACTCTCATGGAAGCTGCAAATAGTCACATATTTCACTGTTTAAATTATTCCCCAGTTTTGAATTTTAAAGACATACCCTGATAGCCACCAAAAAGGTGGGTATGTGAACACAGCGCAAGAATCTTAAAACCCCCAGTTGTGAATAAGTTAAAAGACAAAACAATATTATGTACAAATGTTTGTGTAAATTCCAGGTATTTTAAGTTTTAGATCTGATGAGTTTGTTTTGATCTTTATTTGAAAACCAAATGTCTGTCTTCTTACACATTTAAATATGGAGAAGTCATTCTGTTTCCAATAATTTTGGCTCTTTAGTGAGAGACCCTGAGCTCAATAACCACGGAGGACAGAAGAGCCAGAGCCCATGTACTTGACCTTCTAACACCTATGGCAGTATTACCACTCCTGATGGATTATGGATACTAAAAACTGATTTACTCAACTGCACTGTTAACTAAGGTTAAAACTGTACTTGCTTTAAAAAACCCAACTTTCTTTAAGCATTTTTTTTTCCTTCTGACAAGTTTCATTTGGGGAGCTTATCTTCTAAGAAATGGATAAAGCCACATTCTTATAGCATTTGAGCTATAAGGAAAGCACTGAACACAAACCACTTTCAACAGTTACTCTTAGAAGAGAGTTAAGCAAACCATGTGGTTTTCTCTCTCTCTAAAGTCTTGGAGTTCATCAACTTACTTTTAGGGTTGCTTCAAGAACTCAGGGAACAATATTTTAAATGGTCTTCCTGAAACACTGTAGGGCCTCTTTAAGAATCTGAAATGCATAAGCCATGTGATCTTATTTGTCTTAGATTTAGAGCCATAGGATTTTTAGTTTTACATTTTTACTGAATTTACTCTTTTGGGAAAAACATTGATTTTAGCATTAAAAACCTAACTTGAAGTTATTATTTGTTTAACAGAGGAATAGGAAGTATGGAAATTTTAACCTAACACCTCAAATCTGATCATAAGAATTTCTTAACTCTGATAAGCACTGGCATGCATTCTGAGGTAAAGGAGTGCCAAATAGGATTTTCCATTCAGTCGCAAGACCAGAACTTTCTAGAACAGTCAACGTTTTAGAATAGGTAACTTTTATTTTCCCCAAGTAAAATCTTTGCTTCTAGCCCACTTCAGCTAGTCAGGCATTGGTGGAGGACTTACTATGTGTAAGACACTAACAAAGCTCATCTTAACTAGCTATTTGTTTTTGTAGGACAGCAATTAGATGAGAAAAATTCACTCTGATACATTCCTGGAAGGCCAAGCCCATCAATTTACAAGACAAATAACAGCAAAATCACATACTGCTTTATGGGCAGCAACAAAAGATGAAGCAAACCGCCTAAGAGGTCATATAGAGTTAACAAAAAAAATCTTTGGGCACCTGGGTGGCTCAGTGGGTTAAGCATCCAACTCTTGATCTTGACTCAGGTCATGATCTCACGGTTCATGGGATGGAGCCCCTCGTGGGGCTCTGCCCTGACAGCATGGGCCTGCTTGGGATCCTTCCCCTCTCTCTGCCCTTCCCCGACTTGTGCGCACAAGCACTCGCGCTCTAATAAACAAAATTTTTAACAAAATTTGCATCAAGCAACTTTAGATAGGTTTGTGGCCTAACCATCTATTAGTCCCACCTGACAACCTACAGCCAGCACCGGAGTCCTCACTACCAGAGCTCTGACAAGGCATGGCCATTTGTGGGACTGGAATTCACATTCATGAAACAGACCTTTTCATGTCTGGACAGCTCTTATCAGAAAGTCATGAATACCCCCCTGGAAAAATAACTAATTTTAATTCTTCCCTTTAGTTATCCTTCAAAACATTTGATGTCTGCTATCACGCCTTCCTTAATCTTTCTTCCCCAGTACAAACATTACTAGTAACCCCAACTACTTGTATGGCATAGGCTTTAACAGAGAATCTTTTTCACTTAAAACTGTGGATAGACCTAGGCTACTAAGGTCATAAATAAACTATGCATCTGTGGTATATTTATGTAATATGATTCAAGTTAAGGTTATTGCTATCAAAACTGAACAAGCAAATTACTCAAATTACTGGCTTTAGCATATGATCACATGTGTTGTATTTTTTACGTTATGAAAAGCATAGGTTAATTTCTCATCAATGTGTATTTACATGTATATAAAATGCTGTACAATGCATGTAAATAGGACTTTCTGGAAAGTTTTAGAAAACATTCAGAACCCCCTTTATCCAAAAATCAAAATGCTGCTCAAATGAAAGTTGACTCAGTCAATATCTAGGTGCTTATTCAGTTCTTGCTTTACTGCACTTATAAAATTACAAGACCAACATGAGAAATAGTTACCTTAAATTTACACATTTGTGCAGTTTATTTTTGTAGACTAGAGTGGGAATTTAGCTGGCAATTTATAATAGCACGTTATTTTATAGGCATTTAGCCACTTGTTTATTAAAAGCACTGGTTAAACTTTCTTTGTATTTCTGAACAGTTATTTATGTTAGTTTCAGAAGATGGGATCTTCATTTCAAGGAAAGAAAATCAGGTTTGCCTTTGTGATATGTTAACTGAGACGAAAATGTGTGTAACAAAGCCTACGTTGTTCTATTTTTGCTTTCTTATGCTTTTTAGAGCCTGAACTCTTAAGCTCAAGTTGTGAGGGGAGAAAAGTAGAGAGGGAGGGGTAGAACTGATCACAGTATTTTATTTTTCTAAAACTCTTTTAAAACCCAGATTTTAAAAACTATTTTAAATGTGAATCCTTCCCAGGAGCTTCAAATGCATTGCTTATGTATTTAATCTCAAGCATATTTTACATAAATAGATCACAAAATCATGAGTTTTTAGGGTATCAAAGGAGGTCTTACAGGTCTAGTGTTTCAATAATGTACAAATACCCAGGTCAGGTATTGTTATGATGAACTTTTTTTTTTCCTGGAAGAATGAATAAAAAGTCTACTTTATGGTCAACTTTGACATGTAGGAATGATTTTTTGTGGGTTTTTTTCTTGAGTGAAGAAAAAAAAAAAGAAATGTGTTGTTTTTGTCAGCATCTTAAAAGGTATTCCCAGTCCAGGCACGACTAAGTGCTTTGTAAGAGTATTGAGCAAGTCTTGTTTTGAATGGATTACCTATAATGACTCAGTGGAATGAGAGACAATTTCGGCCAAAAGCCAAGTCAAAACCTAATAACCAAAGTATTCCATATTTAAAACTTATTCTATCATGTTAGGGCCTATTTGAACATCTCATAGACTAAAACAGAAAACACTGCATGGCATATGGATAGCTGTTTAATAATAAAAGTTAGCTCTTTATTTCTCAGCTTTTTTGAATGATTTAACATTATGAGAAGACACTTTCACACCATGATTTAAGGGAACACTGGTTTTGTGGAGGAAAAAAAAAACGAGTTCATCAAAAGCCATCCACAGGATAACTTTTTGAAATAAAATTGTGTATGTGTTGATATCAACTTTGTATATTTCATCTTAGCCATTCTATCTTAGGAAGGTTTTAATGTGAGCTTAAGATGTAAATAAATAATTTTGCAAACATGGCTGTTTTGTATACATCCTGAACTTTTAAACAGTGTCCATGTGTTTACCATTGGTCCTTAGAGTAAAAGCATCGAAAATACTGCACTAAACACATTCTACAAATGCAGAGTCTCAGTACCCACTCCAGACCTAACACCATATTCTTCATATTCTGCATTTTAAGAAGATCTGAGCGTTGGGACTCCATTTCTGTCATAGAATTGAGGACTTCTGGACCAGCCAGGTTGGGGTCTCTGTACCCTGTAGTATGGTTCATAATTACTTCTAGAATCCTGACTTAACCTCAGGCGAGGCCCTACTTGAGATTGTGGGTGCTTCCCAAGTGCCTTGGTTTCACTTTTCCATCTTTATGGGTGACTCAAACTTTCTTAGTTGAGCTGCTCGTGACTGGTTAGATATATTGCAAGTATAGTCCTAAAAGTTAACCTGAACGAACATTGAGGCACTAGCTGAATACTGAAACGTAGAAGCAAAATGGTGGCCAAACCAGACCCATCTCACAAGCCTTGTTTTATTTACTTTTCAAGCTTTTACTTATTTGACAGAGCAAGAGCATGCAGGGGAGAAGACAGAGAAAGGGAGGGAGAATCACAAGCACGCTCCATTACCAGTGCAGAGCCCAATGTGGGGCTTGATCTCACAATAGTGAGATCACAACCTGAGCTGAAATCAAAAGCTGGATGCTTAACCAGCTGAGTCACCCAGGTGCCCCTCAAAGCTTTCATATCAGCTACATACTGCCTTTATGAGGCAAGAGCTATTATTCTTTACAGATGAGTAAATTGAAACTTGTGACTTACTCAAGGTCACACAGCCAGCTAAATAGGGCACTCAGGACTTAAGGCCCAGATTTGTCTATATTAATATGTTGCAGCAACACTTGTATCAATTTCTACTTCCATCAAAAGCATACTATAAAGAAAAATCTAAATCATTCCTGGTTTACTGTATGATCTGATGGGGGTAGAGTATTTATACACACAAAAAAGTTAGGAAAAATGTATCCATGTAGAAGATGGTTACACTTTGTTGATAGATACAATACTATGGGCACTAGGATAAGGAAGGTTAACATCTTCAGGTATTTAATTTTTTTTAATGTTTATTTTTGAGAGAAAGCACGAGCCAAGCAGGGGCAGAGAGAGGGGGACACAGCATCTGAAGCAGGCTCCAGGCTCTGAGTGGCCAGCACAGAGCCTGACGTGGGGCTCAAACTCACAGGCTATAAGAACATGACCTTAGCCGAAGTCAGACACTTAACGGACTGAGCCACCCGGGCGCCCCAACATCTTCAGGTATTTTAATGTAGACTGGGGAAGGTTCTTCGCCTATTCTATTAAAGGTAATTGTGTATGTGCTTCATTGAGATTAGTGTAACCTGTTTGCAGTCTCGTTCATCTTGCATTCAAAAAGTCATGTTTTCTGATATTTACTTGGTGTCCAATAAAATGGTTAGATTTTAGTCAAAGGATCAGAATTTTAACCTAAATTATATAAATTATTATCTGTTGATTAAAAAGTTAAATTTAAATTAGATAAAATATGACATAAGTCACAAAAGTGGTTTTTATTTAGTGTTTGGTTTTTGCCTCATTTATAAATCCGGGAAAATAACTAATTTAAACAAGTGAACATCTTTAAAAAAAAAAAAAATTAAAACTCCACAAAGGCAAACCATAAAACTGAAACAGTGAAATGCCAACTAAAGACTATTGCGGGGGTGGTGCCTGGGTGGCCCAGTTAAGCATCTCACCAGCGCAGGTCATGATCTCAAGGTTCGTGGGTTCGAGCCCCAGGTCGGGCTCTGTGCTGACAGCTCAGAGCCTGGAGCCTGCTTCTGATTCTATGTCTCTCTCTCTGCCCCTCCCCCACTCATGCCTCTCTTGGTCTCTCGAAAATGAATTAACGTTAAAAAAAAAAAAAAAGTAGGCAACTGGGGTGCCTGGCTGACTCAAACCCCACATTGGGTGTAGAGCTTACTTAAGGAAAAAAGAAAAAGAGGCAACCACGTAAAATAAAGCTGGATACCCTCATGTTAAAAGTATTTAATTCTAAATGCATGAGATATACTTTACTAGTGAAGGCAAAGGAAAAATCTGAACAGTCCTTATAGCCCAGATGAGCATTTACCAAACATTTTTCTTTCCTGTTTGGAATTTTATCTGTTTTCAAGATCTCAAGCAGGCACCAACCCAGTCCCAGGCACTAAGATGTTATCCAGCATTGCAATGCTATGGACAATAGGGATTATTCTAGAAAAATGTCAATGTTAAAAAAGCAGAAAAAGAAGAAAGAAAGAAAGAAAGAAAGA